TGTCTAGTTGCCAGGGAGTTGTGGCTTCATGCCATTTCACAGTTGAAGCATGCGTGTGTTTTCGACTGTTTCCTTTATCTTTTCTGACTTTCTTTCTTTCTTCTTGGTTTACAAGAAAACGGCCATTCTAATTGAAATTATTATCTGCTTAGTTGCTAACTGTTTTAACCTTTGTGTTTGTCAGACTTTGTAAAGACACTGTCACCTCTAGCTCATTTTACCAATCAGGGGGAGTATTGACTGGTTTAATAGGTTGTTTTTCAAACTTCAGGCGGTAATTAATGGTGCATTATATATATGCAAGAGACTCTAGAATTATTCTGACTTCATGACAGATAGGGCACTTTAGAAGGGGCTGTTAGATGGCTTCATTGTTGCCTTTATTACTTTTCCAACCCTTTGCACTGTGCACGTGTGTGGAGCCGACTCGGTCAAACATGCTGTGCCCTGCTGGGCATTAGCTGACAACGCATTTGTTTGGTTTGGAGGCGACGCTGCCCCTTGGCTGGCTGCAAGCATGTGCTCTGCTTTAAAGTCCAAACTCCAGGGCCTGCCTGGCTTGGCTGGTTGATCCAATGCCTGTCGACCCTGCTGCTCACTCTTGGAAGGAAAGGCGATTGCTCTGCACACCAGACAGCAATCTCTGGCTCTGCAGGAGTTTTTAAAGTTGTGGGATGTGAAAAAAGAGGTACTGAGTCAGCCTGCAGAGTCATTTTCTGACCAACTCCCCCTCACCCAGATACCTGCTGTCAGATATTAAATGATGGGGTCCACACCAGCTATGCAAGTTATGTTGCACATGAATGAATTAGGATGCCTTTATAAACTGCAATGTAAAGCCATATTGTGTTGTAACCGACACGTGCTCACCCACACATTTCTGAACATACTCACAACAATAAGTACTGTGAGAGTTGGAGTCGGTTCAGATTATAAAGAATAACATCAGAGGGAAAAATGATGCACCTGGTCTGTTCATGGAGGCTCGGGAGGAGTGTTTTATTTTCATCCTTACCTTAAGGATGCCAGAGGATGTACTTAACCCCCAGAGCTTTAGGTTCCCAATACAACGGGGGCTGAATTATTCTGTTGATGACTGTTGGTGCGTTGTGCTGCATTTGCTGGTCTCCTTGAACTATCAGCTGCCTCATCAGACTGATAAGTTGGGACATACATGTCGTATGTCTGTAAATGTCCTGACAGGCAAACTTTTTTTTTGTAATTTGGAGGTGCGTTTAGATGTTTGGATAGAAGGGCAGCGTGTGAGGGACAAGGAGCCGAGGCCGGTTAAAACACTGAGCTGTGCTGCTGACGGATATCCCCACATACGCCGTTTTGGATTGCAGCGTTGACTGTTGGTTTTGCACGATAAATACACATTAGAGATAAAAATCACTGCTGGGTGTTTGCTGGTTTCACAGGCCTGACCCAGTAGTGCGGAGTACTGTACCTGGCGTGGGGCCAGCCGTGTGTCTGAATTATTCCCACTAACATGTGCCAGCTGGAGCACATGGTCCCTGCACTGTGGTGTCAGGAGTTCCCTGAAAGGCCTTCTCGTGCTCCAAGTTTTTTCTCTGGCTCACAGCGAGGGCTGCATCCTTGGACGCGTCCCAGCCTCCCCCTCTTCTCTCCGGAGTAGCATGTTGACCCCACCTTGACCTGGTAAAAGTGCTGAGCTCATCGGGCCATGGACAGGAAGTTTGTCATATTCTGCTTCGTCAAATCCTTCAAGGCGGCTACTTTTCTCTTTTTTTTAATTTTCCAATCTAACAGTTATGTTTTTAAGCCTTTGGGAGCACATATCTCTGTGTATCCTCAGCATTTTTTGGAGGATCTGTGAGCACACCGGCGACGGCCATCCCGAGAAGGCGGAAAAGCTGTGCCTCTGACAATCTGTGGCGTGGGAGAAATCCAGTACTTTGGGGGTTAAGTTGTGAAAGTTAATGCAATAACTGCTAGCACCATCTGCTGGCCTACTTCCTTACAAAGAGAGAGAGAGAGTGGGTGAGCAAGAGAGCGAGAGAAAAACGAGCTTGGGTTTTAACGACATCTCTAATATTCATGCTGATGCATTTTGCTGCTTTGTGCTTTCATTTTTCACCGCTCTGGCTGCCTGAGTCTCGAGCTCCGCCACACACACCCCGGCCGGGCAAAGCGAAGGGCAACGAGGGACAACCGGGAAAGGGATAAGTAAAGGGGGGGGGGAAGAAAAGGAGGAAAAACAGTAAGCCAAAACAAGAGAGGAAGAAAAAACACAATTTGTTGTTTTTTTTTTCCTGGGTTATAAGAGGAGTAACCTACCTTAACCTGGCCGGCGAAGGAGGGCACGGAAAGAAAGACGACGGCGCAGAACGAGCAAGACAGAAGGAGAAATAAGAGGGCTGAGAGAGGCACCGCGAGCGCACACGAGGCAGGCGGAAAGAGGAATCAATGAGGGGGGAGGAGAGCGGAGGCTGGGGAAGGCAACTCCGACACACACGCGCAGAGAGAGAGTGAGGCTGGAGCTGGACGGCAGCAAAGCGGCGCACGGCAGCGGAATGACAGCTTCCTGGACTGCCACGCACCTCCTCTACCGCCAACAGCGCTGCTCCCTCATCACCCTGTGAAGAGACAAACGAGGTGGGGAAGAGAGAAAGAGAGAGCGCCAGCTCCCATGCGCTCCTCTTGAGCCCTGCCCGCTGGGGGAGGAGGAGACCAAACAGTTCCAGCGCTCTCGCTCTCGCCTGAGGAGGAGAAGAGCTGACCGGGAAGGAGGAGGGGAGGCAAACGAGGAGAGAGGGAGGGGAGGGGGGGACACCACAGCTTAAGGAAGAGTGAGAGAAACCGACAGTAGGGCAGGGAAGAGTGTTTGAAAGAGGGGAGCGTGTGTGAGCAACAGAGAGAGGAAAAAACCCGGCGAAAGGGCAAGGCTTTTGTTAGCCAGTTGGAGAGGGGGAGTAAAGAGGAAGAAAAAAAACACCATGTCTACAGTGAAGAGGCCAAGAGGAAGGGTAAGTGAGCTGCTCTCAGAGGTGGGAGGGAGGAGGGACGAGGGGGAGGAGGAGGGGCCGGACAGGAACTGAACAACCTCCTCTGCTACTGGTTAATGCTGCACTGCCGCCATCTTGAACTCATTGCTGATTTTTTTTTTTTTGCCCCCCCCCCTCTCCTTCTTACTCATTCGCTTTTCTGTGCGAGACCTAATCAAGGCACTCTAGATTTATTTTACTCCCCACCCCCACACCGTCTTTTGGTGTCGTACATCACTTTTCCGTTCTGTTTTGGAAGTGTGCTTGAAGCTGTGCTGCTCTGTGCTGTAGTTTCTGTACAGTGTGTGATGTGTGTGTTCTCCATGAGTTCAGCCCTTTAGTAACCAGCGTGCTCACTACATGTGGAAACTGGGGTGGGGGGGTGGGGGGTGGGAAATGGGAAAAGGGAAAAGGTGTCCGGCCCAAATGGAGCTTACTCCACCTTTTCATGTGCCGTAATGGTCCCCGCCGTTTTCATGGGCCTGCGTGCTGCTAGAGAGATTGAAATCACTGCAGTGCTGGCAGGCTGTAATTTCAGTTATTTATAGATGTATTACACAGCTGCAGCGCTCTCCGTTTTGGTGCATTTTATCTTTTCTCTCTCCCTCTCTCTGTCCTCGCGGATAGAAGGCTGTTTTTATGTTTTTTCTAACTCCCTTCTTCATGCATGTTCCCGTCCTTCTGCCCTTGTGCTTTACTTTCTGCTCCTCCCTTTTCACCATTAACTTGAATGAGAACATTCCAGCATGATCCAGTAAATTTTTTCGCTAATAGCCTTGGCCGTGTTGCACACGTGAAAATCATAATGCAGCTCTTGTGTGTATGTGTGTGACCCCCCCCCTCCCTCCCTCCACACACACACACACTTCCAAACAAATGAATTAGTAGTTATTCAATGCCCCCCTCTTCACTTTGTCAGCGAGGTTCAGGCTTATTCTCGTTAATTAGCTGGCAGTGTAGCGAGGGGGGCAAAGGGAGAAAAAAAAGAAAAAGCCGCGCCTGGGCCGTGTAGGCATACGCAACACATTTTTAGATTAGGTCATCCATTTATGGGTTCTCTTTCCGCTGAGCTCAAGGCCCACAACAAGGAGCTTGTGTAGGCATAACTGCAGTCACGCCATCTATTATTCACATATTATCATGTATCAGGCAGACTGGATTATTTATGTCTCCAAGGCACACTATAACCTGCTAGTGGCAAAGTGTTTTTGCTCTACATTAGAAAACGGCACATTGCCCACCCAATTCAGCAAACACCAAACATTTCACGTCACATGGTTTCCAGCGGATTGAAAGGAATTCTTGAAGGCAACACCGGCTCTTTTTCAAACTAAATTCCCACAGAGAGTTAGGCAGGGTTCTGCGAGTGAGTAACCGGCAGAGCAAGACAGGTTCGGCCCCCCCACCCACAGCATCACAGATGCGAAGAGCAACAAGCTCTGTGCTCCACAGCCTTCAGAGGGTTTTGTCTTTCTGAATGAGTGATACTTTTAAGGGTCACGTCACAGCAGAGTTGATTTTAAGCTGAAAGGAGTTGGTGTACTCCCCCTTTTTTTTTTTTTCTCCCTCAACCCCGGTTTCATATTTAACTGTCACATTTAGCTTCTCGTAAAGAGAAAAGGTATCTCTAAAGTTCAGCCCCTTATTATTTGTGTAGAAGAGAAAGACTTGTTTGTTGACCAATTAGCTGAGCTGCTTGACTTGAATGGACAATTTCTTCATCATGGCTGTAGCTAATCTTGATATTTACACCTCGTGGCTTCTTGTTCTTTTCGTGTTACAAAATACAATGACTGGTGTTTTGTTTTTGTTTTAGCTTTTGTACTGTATATTGACATGTGAGATCATTTTGGTGCCCTTGTTTGTTTCTTAAAAGATTCTGCTCCAAAACAAGCACATTTATATAATAGGCACAGTATTTATGAAACGTCAGTTATACAAATATCCCAATTCTAAATATAGAATTTTCTTCCTCTTGCATTTGCCTTTTAGCCTCGAAAGAATGCCAATGGTCCAGGTAGCCAGGTGCAGGTCCTCAGTCCCCCAGTGAAGAGCAGCTCGTCATCCTCCTCTTCATCTTCATCTTCATCATCATCCAGCTCCTCGTCAGAGAAGAGGGTGCCGCGGAGGACGCTTCACCAGATGGAGTCGACTCTGCTGGACAAGCAGGAGAAGGCCAATAGGATAATATCAGAGGCTATTGCCAAGGCCCGGCAGCGGGGGGAGAAGAACATCCCCCGGGTCATGAGCCCGGAGAGTTTCCCCAGCTCTTCAGCTCTGCACAAGACGCACCGGGAGCGCGAGCACAAGGGAAACGGCAAGGCTCGGCCCAAAGAGAAGGCCAGCAGAAAGGCCTGCATCGTGCCCTCCTCCAAGTCCAAGCAGAAGGCCAAGATCGGGTACGTAGGCATTACTGCTGTTCCATAAAACTCTACAGTGCACATATTTTTAAGAAATAATCCACTCAATCGAGGATTGATCTTATCTCTGTTCATTCCGCACTGTAGCATTTCATGCGCACTGAGCTTGTGACGTAAAACTCCGTTTCTCGTTCAAGCTTTCTTTAGGGAAAGACCTGCAGATAATTGTTTGGACGCGTAATTTTCTCCATAAAGACTTTGTTTCCCTTTTTGTATATTTAAAAAAAGAAACAAAAACATTTCCTTATCCATTTATCACAGACCAATGTCATAGCTGCGCAGTCATGTCTGCACGGTCTGCAGCTGGCCAGCAAAAGAGAAATGGCTGCTCATCTCCTTTCGAGAACAACAAAATGCTTGATGGCTTCACAGTAGTGCATTTGATCAATTTAGCCCGTGTGTGCTCTGTTTGAGCTTCCTGGTCTGATTGATCAACCATTTTTCTTTCCGTGGCTGCTGAAATGGAATCTCAAAGTTCAACGTTTACTGCACTCCGCGACAGTAAACCCTTTCCCGGTCGTCAGCACAGACCTGGGAGGAGCAAACAAAGGCTCCATTTACATGTGAGCCAGCGCTGCCTCTTACGTTTATCTTGTAGTGCTGATATATAGATACCATAATCTGCCTCCCATCCCCCCTCTGTTTAACTGCTTTAAGCAAGTGTGCAGCTATAGGCCACACCCAACACAAGCTATTAAAATATTAGCGGGTGCAGATATGAATGCATAGAAGAGACAAAGGGGACAGGCAGTGTTTTAATATAGTAAATGTGAGATTGAGCAGCTGGGGAGGGGGTATTTTTAAAAAAAGGCCAGCGCTTTTTGGGCAGCTATAGGCCTGGTGTGAGAGAGATTGACAGCGGTCAGCAATCTGGCTGGCAGCTGCGTTGATTGATAATTAGATGAGCGTGACGGAGGGGAGAAAAGCTGGAGCATGTAATGGATTTAGCTTGTTATGTGGGTTTGCCTCTATGTGATAATTAGAAAGCTGAAATTATGAGATGATGGACCCACCGGTCACAGTTAGGCAGCCCTCTGCAGTTAGAGTTGGCTCCCTGGTGGAACTCCATGCACCTCAAGTGTGTCGGTTGTGGGATTGATTAAAAGATAGCTGTACCTCTCTGACGAGCTTTGTTTTGATCATTATAGTAAAGTTGCGTTTGATGATCTTATTTATCCGAAACAGACTGCTCATAAGTTCAGGAAGCATCACAGATTGCTTTTCCGCCTGATCATGTCGTGTTCATGGCATTACAGTTGATAAAACCATCAGCATTTAATCACAAGTAATCTAAGATTTGTCAGAAGGTCAGCTAACAATCTATCATTTAAATGGGTCATAGATAAAACCCTGTGTTGTAACAAGGTAATTAACTGTGTAACCTAAGTGACCATAATTGGATCAGAAAACATCAATGCCAGATGCAGGCAGCAGAGCCGCCTTCTGGGGTTTAGATGATGCGCTTATAACCCAGTTCTGTGGTTGATAACCTTCAAACTTACGCTATAAACCTGAGTTTGAGAAAAAAGAAATGAATTTTTCCAAAAAAAGCAACATTGAGATTGAGGGCTCACTGACGCCTTATTCGCACTTCGAGTGTGGCGTGCGGGAAGCGCCATGATGTGAACAGATTGTAGCATTCTCATTGGCTGTATTAAACCTGCTGCAGCCGCGAGGGGAAAAGATCCCCAGAAAAAGCCACTGTGTAACTATCTGTTTGCAAAGGCATCGTGCAACGTCACAACCAGGCTATGATTGTCAGCTTTTTCCAGTTTCAGGATTTTTTTACCACTCTCAAGTTGGTAACTTTTCCTTACTTTCTGAGTCGCAGAGACAACGGATTCTTATGATCTCCTTATGGTTATTTGCTGAGGCATCCCTCTGTTAGACACAACTGTCCAGGCAGTTATTAACCAAAGCCGAAAGGTTGTTGGCGTGAAGGCAAACCTGTTGCCACTGCACTGCACCTCAGCTAAGCCCACAGTGCTCACCCAGCCATTGTACCCATGATTACAATGTCAGAGGCAGAACCAAACAGAACAGATTGGAATGCCAAGTACAACCGAAAAGTGAATATGGTAAACTCACCTAGTTTTGCCCTGACTCAGGAGAAATCGTAACGCGATTAGTCTCAGGCTGCTGTTGCTGATATGTAAACATGGAAAAGGACAACAGAAATATAGCCACACGAGTCAGATTTCAAGATGATCCGACTATGAATTGGCTCCATTTTAAACAACTGCTTCTGGACTTTACTAATCGAAAACTGGGCGGTTGAAAAACAGTAGTAATAGCTTTGGAAACCCGGCGGGACAGCCTGTAGACATGAGACAGACAGGAGGAGCTTTGTTTTCTGGCAGAATATTCCCACTGCAGTCCAACACCGCATGCCTGGTTATAGCTGGTGTTACAGTAAGGAACTGAGTAGCTGTGAATTTCTAAAGATGGGATTTGTATTTTGATGATGGATCCATGGTTCTCTTTGTCCTTTTTATGGCACCTTTCGGGATGCCATGTTGTTACTGGTCCTTCTTCTTCTGTTATGTGCTAACACTTAAACGGTATGAGCAAAGCCGGTGGCTGCAGTGGGCTGAGTTTATCAGTTGGTGCTCTGCAGACCACTCCGTAAAGGATGCTGGGCAGCCCTTCTTAGGACCAGGGGGACTCTGGTAGTGAGATCCCTGTTCAAAAGCTCGCACCAATAGGATATCCCCAGAAAAAATTAGGCCATCTCAGGTGCAGAGGTATGCACATTCCCCTAGAGTCGTTATTTCAGTCTCTGTGCTGGACTGTGCAGCAAACGTGAGCTTTCATGTGTATATGGTGTTAAGAGAGTGTGTGTGTGTGTGTGTGTTCACGCTTCTGTGGGCCGTGCTGATGGTTCTTTAAGTAGGGAATGGAGCCCGAGAAAAGACTATTACTGTAATTGTCTGCCTACTTAAGGGTCTGTGTCTTTAAGACCTCCATGCTACCTAAACGCAAGCAGCCGATTGTGCCAATGCACCAGCTGTTATGTCAAGGGGATTCCATGAATATATTTGAAAAAGGTATTGTTTTTTTGTTTCTGTTATAAATTTGACTCAGCATAGATTGCAGCTCCTGATCTGGATACCGTTCCACCAAACTGCACCAAAAAACTTTAACTAAAACATTGCATGGAACGTTTGCAAATAGACTAACAACATTTGGTTCTCTGAGGCTGTCATAGAAGCAGGTTGGATTTTTTCTCTTTTTTTACCCCTTTTTTTTACGCCTTTATGACTGTGCTGAACTTTCCTGAAAAGGAAACTTTAAGTTCAGGATTTAGGTTGTGCATCAATAGGCCGATGTTTTTCCACCTCTGACTTTGTAAAAGTTGATGGTTGTCCAAGGTTGATCCATCTCATAATTGGATACTGTACAATTTGCAGCTGAATAAAATTTGCTTCAAATCACAGCCTAATCTCACAGGTGACATTTGTAGTTGACAATGTATAAAAGTAAGTTTGGTTTATATTCCGTTTCCGTTTCATTTTGAAATGAAAGGAAATTAACAAAGCTTTTTTTGTTGTTGCCAGATCTCAAATGGAAATTAACTACAAGAGAGGAATCAGGTTAACTGAAGCGTGTCAGATTCCGTGGCATATATATTAACGTCATTCTGCCTCTTCCTGTGTGGGAGGTCATCATACATCTAAGTATAGATGAAGACTTACACACAACTTTGAGTTACCTCTCAGAGCAGGGGGACAGTCTGGGAATCGGCTCTTTGACACTACGTGTCACTTTGCACCATGGCCTTTGACGCTCACCGCTTCTTATGTGTTTATCAATCTGACAAATGACATAATCTCATGAGAACCAGAGCAGCTATATGGGGAATCTGGTCGTGTTGCAATACTTTTTTAGGTTTTATTATTTTTGACAAGAAGTAAACAGATGGAACTTAGGACCATGCACACAGCATCTCTGCCTGAGACGAGCTAAATGCATGCGAGAGGGATTCAGTCTGCCACAGTGTTGACCGGGATTACATACAATTTTGCCCAAACGAAGACTATAGTTTAAAATGTGTCTGTGTGTGTGTATGTGTATATATATAATTTCATTTTGGGGTTTTTTTTCTATGTAATTTATTTTCCGCTTTGTGTTGTTTGTGTTATGTAAATGTGCTCACCGATGGCGTCTTAGATATTTGAGAAGAGACCTCTCAAAGGGCCTTCATCTGTTTATATGTGGAAATTTATGGCATAATTCCATATTTCAATTTCTAATCTTCAAAAGGAAACCTTACTTAACAAGTTGAACAAAGGCACTGCTACGTTTAATACGTTTAGTTTGCGTCTGCGCTGCATGAATCAAAATATCAACCTGTATGAAGTACCCTGAGAAAAGTCCATGAGGGGTATCACAGTCCAGGCTTGAGCGAGCAACGCTTACTGCAGGCTGAAATGTGCTTTTCCAGGCAGCCTACCTGCTGAAAAATACCCTCCTATAATCACCAGATGAAAGCACTGAGCCACTCATTCCCTTTTTTTTTTTTTTTTGGTTCTCCTCCCCCTCCTCTGTACATTTTTTCCCCTAATATAAATTTAGTTCTCCCAGCTCGCTCAAAGATGTGTATCCACCGCTTCCTGTGAGCAGGCATGTTCTAAATATGCTGATTTTACAAAGCAGCAGGGTAGGAGGAAAAATCAAACAAAATGGTGCTTGTGAGATCAATTACTTGATAGAAAATGGAGGTTTAAGTCTGGTGTATAGCTGTTCATATTTCAGTGCTCGCCTGCTAGGCATCTAATCCCCCCCCCTCCCCAGTTTTGTCATTAGGAAAAGCTAAAGCTGTTTTTTTAATTGTTTTTGTGGCTAATCCCTCAGAGGGTGCCTATGTCGACGTGTTCACGTGTGCAGGCGTGTGATTTATTATAACGTGTTAGCGAATCTGTACGTAAAAAGCGAATGTGGCTTGCTTTTGAAATGTTTGCTGAATAAAGCTGGGATCTCTTGTTGCCATGTGCACTTTGCTGATACAGTATTTTTTTTTTGAGGAGGCGCGACAGTGGCACTACTACCGTTTCCAGCCCTGAGTTATGTGGCACTCAGATTATATCCTTCCATTCATAGGAAAGGGGATTTCCTGAAAATGAATAGAGCACCATCGTGTCAAAAAGCACCTCAGGGTGAGGGAAAGCATGCAAAGACGCATAAATGCTGCAGACAAATACGCCGGACATTAACAGTAAGCCTTTCTGAATGCTGATTCTCCATCATGCAGTATTGGCTTTTAAGGCGCTATCCTGCCTTGATTCTATTAAAATCAAACCCTCACACATACACTCCCTGTGGCTGCTTGCCAAGTAGGGCAGGACAACACTGGGGGGACAGGGGATGGGGTTATTTGGCACAATAGGAGAACCGGAGCCAGGGAAGCCTGAACAGTAACTAGCCCGTTACACTCCGGGAGTAGCTCGTGGTAGCCGATCATCAGGGATCATCCGGCAATGTCAGATCACGGGCTGCTGTGGTCTAAATAGAAATGCTGCCGAGAAGCCACACAGCAGCATCAGAGAGAACGTGCTTTTCCTGGGCTGAAGGCATGATGAGCGGCTAGAGCTAAAACATATTCAAATTAGTATTAAGAAAATAATGATTCAGTCTACTCACACAGTAATCCTAAATGGCACATGAAAAGATGGAAAATTAATACAGCTTGAAAAAGATGGTGCTTTGTAACGTGGACATTCCAAACATACCTGACATCCAGTGTTGTACACCAGTGACCATGTATGGATGAAAGATCCAGCATCATCGTCCCATTGCCAAATTTCTTTGATCCATAACTCTGAGGTACCCTCAAAGTCCTCACTTTGACTTTTGACTCATGCATCATCTACCAATTACACATTGTCCATGATGGTAAATGGGAGGCCGGGTTTAAGTCCCCTGTTTTCAAGAAGCCTGCAGATCCATCTCTGTGGGAGTTCAGCACCATTGAATGAATGGGAACATGACATGGCCAAAAATATACATCCAGCATTTTCTTTGGGCTGGTAAAGCTTGGAAATAAATTTCAGACAAAATAATTAAACCAAATTTGCCAGAGAAGGTTGACAAGTTTAAAAACCGAAAAAACCGCTGGTAGGAGCTGCATGCACCACAGACTTGTGTGCTAATGTCAGGCTGCTGGCTACTATCAAATACTCAGATCAGTGGATATAATGTCTTTTGTCATGGTGGGTTTCTACTGCCTGCGCAAAATTCTCTGACATCGAAGAAAATCAACCATGACCCTAGAGAATGAAACTGACTTCTTCCATAGATCACTTTCGCAACGAGATGGTTTTGATTTGAAAATCGTTTTTTCCCCCAGTCATTTTGGTTAACACCCTTTAACTCATGGGGCGGCTATACAAAGAGTGCATGCACATTAGCACCAATGTTATTAAAGCCCTGGGTGGTCCAGTTTATCCACCCCAGCGGGGTGGAACCGGCTGTCACCATCACTATGATGTGGTTTTTGCTTAGTTGCGTGTACTGCACACACAGGATGTGTATATATGGAAGCTATACATTTCCTTATGTTCATTAGGCCCTTACGGGGCCACTCAGATTGAGTATATTCTGTATTTACCAGGGAACCCCATCGCCATCAATATTTTCTGTCGGCACGGTTGTTTTTTGCAAGTTCTCCACATGTCAGGCTCTGCCTGTGTCCAATCAACCCCTGGTTGGTACCTGGTACCACGACTCTGTTTCTGAGTTTTGTAAATTATTTTTTTATTATGTAGAGTACTTCTTTGTGGTTTGGTTTGTTGGTATCTGTTTGTTTTTGGCTCTCCCCCCTATCACCGGGTCGTCCTGACCTGAGACTTTTTAAGCCATCCGTGGCGTCAGTGGGCACAGACTGCAGAGGTTTTTGTAGGAAGTGACGTCATCGTGAGCATCACCGCCCACGTTGACAAATAAACTCCAAAGGGCAAGTTGCATAGCAACCATAAAGTGTCATTGTCAAAAGGATTTGTGGAATGTAATATCACCCAAGGGGGAGGCAGGGACACCCGTCAAGTGATGGGTGTCTGTCACTGGGCTGCTGCCGTATACTTTACTAAGATGCTATGTTGTCTGTAGTCCTAATCACCACTGATTCATGCTTTAGGTCTGCACATTATTTGTCAGACTTTAGTTGATGGTTCGTTTACATTTGGACTATGTAAGCATTTTTAGTTCAGAGAATTACCCCATACTTTAACTTTTGAGATCAGAATATTGACAGCTTTTTTTATTATTTGTGTCTGTCCATGCAGTACATAGCACTTTTCACACATGCTAAGAAACTCCACCTGTGAATTTAATGGGAAAACGGCAACATAGCGGGAAAAAAGATCTGAGAGTTTGTCAGTGGAGAACAGAAGCTGTTCTGTCTCTGCTTGTTCCCATGCTGTTGGAAAAGGGCCCTGCATTATCAGCCTCGTAGAGACCTGACAGGAGCTGCGATTGGTCAGCGTGGACACGTTTGTTTACATCCTGTCTCTAATGTAAACCGAAATGAGCAAGCGACACAGGGACATGGAGAACGTTTTCCCTGTGTGGGAAAGTGACGCTGGCTTCCTCATTTAGGGTAAAAAGCCACTGTCTTGCAGAGTTTTTATTTTCCCATTAACCTCACAGCAAAGCAGACGTGATATAAATGGAGACGGGCAAGATGAGACGCGTCCGCATATGTGGTGAGAGAATATAATTGAAAAGGTCACTCAATTTATATATGAATGTAAGTAGGGGGAGAGGGAAAAAAACCATTGGAGCTTGAAATACTTGAAGAAATTAGAATCTTGTCTATTTATTGTGCAGCCTGTCTTGGAACTATAATGGTACATTAGGCTATAGTTAGAGCTAATACTTGCAAACCAGCAATGTTGGTGTAAAGAAAAAAAAGAACTATTATGATTAAATGCGGTTGGATCTTCAGAATGGGTGGGAGCTTCAGCAAAGAACTGAATTCCTTAGTCCAGAAACTCGGTTTGCTGTCGACATGAGCATGTTGATACGTGTAAGCATTCCCAACAGTTCCTCTATTGCCAGTATTGTTTGTATATTTTAGCTTAAATGCATGCTGACAGCTGAAAAGAAAGCATTCTTTTATGAATCTCAGACTCTCGCTCCAGTGCATCCGTTGTGCTGGTGTGCAATGATGCAGAATTGCCTTAATATCAGCTCAAGCATTGATGAATAGCTTTATGGAGTTATTGATGAGTTATTAAATTTCTATCCAATCCTCCACATGTAATCCATTACAGGTAGCCTATCACACACACTGTGCCTTATCCACATACTTAAAAGCCACTAAATAGGTTTGTGTGAACTCAAGGTACAAAATGAGTTCTTGTTTAATGTTTTTCCTGTGACCAGCTGTTCTTTTGACTTCAGTTTGGCAGTACAGCTAGCAATAATCTAAAGCCTCCACAGTTGAAACAAGACAAACCCCTTACACCTCTACGTCTCTGTTTAGAAAAATCTCCAAAAGGAATAACACAGGGTGATGAAGTGAAGGAGTCCTCATGTATCTCTTTTTTTTGTTTTCCTCAGGAAAATTGTCATCAAGATTGGAAAAAAGAAAAAACGAAAGCCCGAATCGTCAGAGGAGGAGTCGGATGATGATCCTCCCCCTCGACACACTTCTAAGGATGACGACTCTGTGAGTTCAACTGTGCCCACACACTCTCACAAGTGCCACTCTTTCAATGTTGAAACTAGGCCCCTAATGCTCGGAAAACCTTTCGCATTCATCCCGTTTAGTAGCGTGAACCCCGCACTCGGCGACGGCGGCTTTTAATTTGGGCGCGTCTGACTGAGTTTTAATTTGCCTCAGATGTGGTGTGCGCGCACCACTGTCTGTGGTGTCACACAGGCAGCACCAAAGGAGGGATAAAAAGATGGAAAAGGCAGACTCTTCATGCCTCTGTGAGCGAGTGAAGTGGTGTCCTCGCCCTGAGTGTTCACACCGCTGCTGAGAACAGAGGAAGGCTCGCTGCTGTAGTCTGAGTGCAGAAGGATTGGCTGTGGTTCATGTGGAGGTCATGCAGTGGGTGGTTATCTCAAGTGCACATTCCTGTCTGTGCTGATGATTGAAAAGAGGGCAGCAGTGAATTATTATGTAGGTCAAGGCATCGGCAATAGCACGCTTTTTACATTCATGCACGTGTCTATTCTTAGCAGCAGGTGAAGAGTTAAAAGGTGCTCAGCATTGATCACATTTTAATTTAAAAACTAGCGCTGCCTGTGGGGTTGAAAAGTAACCTCTATCTATAGCCATTGGAATCTCGCTCTGTACTTCCATGCGGTGATAAAATTAAGAATTGAGTACTGCTCACTTGGAGTTGAGCTCATTTCAGGTGGTGAAAGAAAAACAAAACAAACATACGGGTGTCCATCACATAATAACATCAAAGATGGGTAATGGCCGTTAAACGTTTGAGCGATAACCTTCTCCATCTGAGAGAGTAGGTTTGTCGTCTCTCACCCGTGTCCCCCCCGCCCCCGTTTTATTGTCCTATACGGACTATATCCGATGATATAATTACGCATGCTAAACGGCGCCCCTGGCCCTAATTAAAACAGTCTGTTGATGACTCATTTAGGATGATCCTGTAGCAGAAGTCATGGTACTGTGGCCGGCAGCTACAGCAGAGGCACGGCCTCCTCAGGGTTTCAGCCCTGCCGTGGTGGAACGTGACTGGTTTGACTGCAGCGTCTGGTCAGTTTCGGTTTGTGGACGTGAGGCTGTACATCCGCAGGGATATAAAACTACACACCTAATTAACTGGGGCTCAGTGGCATTTATTCCTAATTAACTACATATTATCATTAGGAGGGGCTCATGTATTGATGCAGGATACAGCAGCCCATGCATACAGTAATTAGAAAGCCTGAACAGGAAAAAATAGACAGACTTTAAAAGCCTCTGATTTTATTCTTTCCTCAACTACAGGGCTTCATGTTTTTGTAGATTCTTTTCTGTTCTTTAGTGGTAATGTGCTTTTCCCTTTATTGCATAAAGTGTAAATGCTTTTATGAATGAATGATTTTCATCCATGTTATATATGTGCTTCTACTGGATTTTAGCCAGTAGAAGTATTGACAGAAAAAACACAGTTTTAACATCAGTCAATTGGTTGCTTATTGAGCTTAGTAGCTTGCTGTAGGTTCTGGTTTGGACCGATATTTCTTCGATTGATTTACAGCCTGTAGCTGTATGGGCTGATCACCTCCCTTTGTCTCTGCTGTGCAGCCGAGTTAATTATCCTAACCAGTCAAGGAAACATCTGAGTCACGTTTGCTTTTATTGCACCTATTTGCAAAAGCGTTTGTTGGATGAAAACCTGGTTGTTGTTGTTTAAGACTTTGCACACAAATACAGCCCAGTTATGCGACTCCTAATCGAGAAGATGCTTAGTCAGTTTGGTTTATGAGACGGCAACTCATCCCAGAACAAACTTGGTACAACTTCAACTGATGCGGGACACATTGATGTTCGGCCCTCCCATTTACCTGAGTGTTAATTATTCAATTATATATTTGATTATGAATGTATTCATTAAGTAACTGAGGTATTTGTTTTTAACGTTTTTGTAATGATGCTTGTTTTATTTTATTTTTTTGTTTCTCTGCTGTAGAAGAGGCGGTCTAACCGTCAAGTGAAGAGAAAGAAATACGCCGAAGAGCTTGAGGCCAGGCTCTCAGACGAGGATGTAAAGGTTATCGTCAAAGCCAAGAAAACCAATTCTGGAGCACCCAAAGAACCTGCCGTTCAGCTGTTTGTTGTGAGTTATTCTCCTAACAAGCTCCTGAAAGGTTGAGGCTGGATATTTGACTTGGAAGGGGAAAAGGATAGTTTGTAAAATGGAAAAGGCCTCACTCATTTTTTTGTTGGGAATGAGCTCATTCTGCAGAATTATAGCAAGACTACATACTCTATCAGGCTCATAGCAGCCTGTTGTTTTTACCGTCAAAGTTTACAGCTACATTGACTAGATTTGGATGCAAATGATGCAAAGAGAAGGAGGAGTTTTAAATGACACAGCTCAGCTGGGAGCAGTTCATCACCAATATTGTTTCACCTTGCTTTTCCTTTAGTTAAAACCTACTGTTGTTTTTGCTTGTCAGTTTAATTTAAATCACCAGTCATCACGTAGGCTTTTGACTGGTACAGGATATTATTTTCAATCTTACTTACAGCTTAGTCTGAGGAATTTCCTGTGTGTACAGCATACAGTCGCTGGTGTGTGGTTTTTGTATCGTGAATGCTTCTTAGTAACATTTACCATTGAACGTTTTTTGCTGCACGTGCAGGAGAATCCCAGCGAAGAGGATGCTGCTGTTGTTGACAAAATCATGTCTTCTCGCATAGTAAAGAACGAGGTAAGGGTTTTCTTTTTCTCTATTTTTTCTTCAAAATTCATTTCCTGTATTTTGTCATTTTTGATACAGTAAATATCACAATCCTGATAATGAATTGGTTGCTTTTTGTGTTTTTTTGTGTGTTTTTTTTTTTTAAGGAATAGTTTCCTCATATACAAGTCTCTCTCTGCAGGTCTCTCCAGGGGTGATGGTGGAAGTGGAGCAGTTTTTTGTAAAATACAAAAACTAGTAAGTTTACAGTGCACTTGTGTTTTCTCTGCTGTGGGTGTGAAAATCCTAACGGTTAAAGATATTACCGCGCCTGTACTCCGGCCGAATAGTGTACGGTCTTTTCATAGCCACTGCTGACGTTTCAAGCTCTCATCCTCATAACTTTGAACAAATATTTTCTAAACTTAAATGGGGTATAAGCAGAACGCCCCACCCCCTCAGGGCTGCTGGAAAAGATGCTGCTTACTTCTCAGATTGCACAAGCAAGCAAAGACCACAGGCGTCTCTGGAACAGCTTTCAGTCATCGCCATGCTTGTTATTGTATTTTGGAACTGTCATTTTTCATCTGCATACTTGGAAAAAATTAATAAAGATACCTGCTCGTTCCCACAACAAACCATCAGTTTGAGGGTTTTTGGAAATAAGGATTTATGAGCCAACGACCCTTCCACAGAAATAATTTCTTTTCACCTGACAGATAATCTGTCATGAGCCGAATCGCATTCATTATTTCTCAGTGAAATGATGAAAAGGTTAGATATATGATGAGCAGTACTGAGATTTCTGTTAACCCCCCCCCCCCCAGATATTAATGATTAGATCAGTTCTAACAGTATGTCTGTAAATGATTCAACAGTCACACCTGCTGGCCTCGGCTGCAAAGAAGTGGCAATTCATGGTTTCTTACTCTAGTTGTGGTGTGTGTGTGTGTGTGTGCGCTTCAGCTCTTACCTACACTGTGAGTGGGCCACAGAGCAGCATCTGGAGAAGGACAAGAGGATTCAGCAGAAGATCAAACGCTTTAAGATGAAACAAGCACAGAGGGCGCTCTTCTTCGCTGATGTAAGTCTGTCAGACTGTGCTTGTAGTTCTATCTGTGCAGGCTTTTTTTTTGGGGCACGCACTTACTTTGTGTGTGTGCTTTTGTTATTTAGTGTCTTTGAGGACATTTGTGTTTCCTGCTCTTGTAGAATGTGATTACATTTGGATGTTAGCACGTCTTCCCTGTTTGGTTTGTGTGGGCTGGCACATCTGTGTACATATAGCTGAATCTCTTCACTCCCTCAGCTGATGTGGCAGAGATGTTTTTCACAGATTCCAGATGATGTGTGGGCACACAGGTATACTCTCTCATTTTCTAACAGCTATTTTCCCTTTTCATGTCTTTCTTCATCCTCTCAGATGGAGGAGGAACCTTTTAACCCTGATTATGTAGAGGTGGACAGAGTGCTGGAGGTATCATATTGCGAGGACAAAGACACAGGAGAGGTGAAACCAATCTGCTTTTTTGGCAATCACATAGCTGAGGAGTGTGTGTTTCTGTCTTTTGTACTTGATGACGTTTAACTCCAACAGTTTTTATTGGTATTATTCCTTTCAATGCGTTCTTCACTTCATTGATGCCTCGTAGGGATGTCTTTAAATCATAGAAATGCCCAAGGCCATCCTAATGGGCTGTTTCGCAGCCTTTGTTCATGTTATGAAAGCAAAGCATAGCCTCGCTCTAGTCTTTTCCAGCGCCAATTCTCCTCTGCCTGCTGCAGGAAGTGGTGTATTACCTGGTGAAGTGGTGCTCTCTGCCTTATGAGGACAGCACCTGGGAGCTCAAAGACGACGTAGATCAGAGCAAGATTGAAGAGTTTGAGCAGCTGCAGGCAGCCAAGCCAGACTCGCGCAGAATGGTAAGCCTGATAACATTTTCCCACTACTATTCCCTTCTGTTGCTGGTTTCTTTACGACCTCGAAAGGGCATAGAATATGAAGCTATTATTTTCTCTGTAATCATTAACAAATCTCAAACCCTATCTGAGAAAAAACACAAAAACAGTGAACTATATAGACTTAAAAAGTAAAACTAAACATCTAATTCGTACCTTGCAAGATGGAAAAGAGCAAGATTTTTTTAAATCTATCTTTCTTAGTCAAGAGAGAGTTACTATTATAACTCAAACTATAAATACCTATTGTAGCACCTGTGTTACAAACACTCAACGGGTTTTTCTCTCAGCTAGCTCTCCACTGGACCAGTTTTCTCACTTTCTCACTACAGTAATCTTTAAAACTGCATGTGCTTTCTTTAAAAAGATATTTACTATAAAAAGACATATCACATTGTGATATTGAGGCTGGTATTTGCCTTAGAAGTGTTTGTACCTTTTCTCTGTTTGTCAGTGTTCAGATTAATCATAAATCAGTCTTTTGGTAGTTTTTAGTTGTCCCACGTTTAGTGATTATAAATCAGTGGCATAATACGCTTATATCTTTTTTATGTTAAGAAGCTTTTTTACAAGCTAGTTGTAAAAAAAACATTTCCTCAATCACTTATCCATGTTCTTCATCTTCCGCTGTCATTTGAAAAAGGGTAAAAACCTCATGTCCCCCCATTGTATTCCAGCCGTCCTTATTAAACCCTTCATTAACATTTGTGATTCAGGAGCGGCCGCCAGCCAACCTGTGGAAGAAGAGGGAACAGTCCAGGGAGTACAGGAATGGCAACATGCTCAGGGACTACCAGCTTGAAGGGGTCAATTGGCTTCTTTTCAACTGGTACAACAGGTCAGTTTAAAGTCCTGTGTGTTTGTTCCCATGACCTGGCAGGAACGAGCTAGTGAAAGTTTGTTATTGTGCCGTCTTACCTGTATCTGCGAACGGGATCTCAGCCAAGGCTTCTTGTGAATCAAAGGCAAATGTTCATATTGAGGTTTTAAAAAAGAGGAAAAATTGCTTGCTTACTTTTGTCTTTATAACGGAAATTCCATTCAATTAAAGCTAGATCTGGTTGTAAGATTTCCCTTTCTTATAGGCTTTAGGTTAATGCTCTTCTCAAGTAATAGTTTGTAGCCTGTTATGGCAGTTATCTATTTAGAATTATTACAGGAGCTTTTTACATATATATATTTTTTATATATTTTCCCAATTCCTGTCAAAGTCAAACCTAACATCTTAAATGTCTCTCAGTGTACAAACACCACCCAGGAGGTCTGATATTTTCAAAAACAAGTTCTCTTGGTGTTTTGAGGCTGCAAATCGGTCAAATATTGAATAATCAATGACCTGCCCTGTATTTATTTATTTGCTTGTGTTTGTTGGGGCTACTAGGAGGGTCAGATTTGCTGTCAGGGTGCACACTGCTGCTACAGCAATCTTTTTTTTTCCCGCCCACATTCTCTAAAGAAGCGCTGAGGAGTACATCTGGAGTACAGTGTCGGTGTGCTTGCATTAACCCTGGGAATTGGTTTAGTTATGTGTGAGCTGCTGGAGTTTGTGTAAGCCTACGCACAGAGATTCATCAAAAGTAGAGGGCTGCTTAAGAGGCCAGTGGGAATATCTGCACGTTGCAATTAGCATCAAGACATAATACCCCCACCCACTGGACAGCTGAATAAATGGATCGCAGGAGCACACTGCACAGCGGAGGCATTATGTGGTATCTCATATTTCTGCTCTGTTATTACTGCTGATGATTTTGTTTTCTCCTCAGTTGTGTGCTGTTTGTTCTTTAAGTATCATGGGATCTTTTTCATTTTCCTTGTTTAGCTCCGTTTACCCTTTTACAGGTTCTCACATTTGGTTACAGGCAACAGAAATCCACCTGATAAGTGTGCAGCACCTTGTCTCTGTTGTATACAGACTTATGGGGATTTCCGATTTCCATTACAAAATAAAGTCCCAATAGAAAGGCCGGGCAGCCGGCCTGTGACATCATTTACGTGCAACACAAGCACAAGACAACAGGGATAAATCTGCCTGAACCACCATGTTGGTTCATGTAATACGTGTTAACGTTGATGATCAGAGAAATAATGAAATCTGTGTTTGGTGGTACTTTTTTAAATAGGCGGGGTGCATGTGACGGTCACTTTAATGACTCGTGCTGTCATGTGACACCCTGGCCAATCAGCTGTCGCCTAATTCAGCCTACTTGGAATCCCGACCTATTCAGTCCTAACATTTTGACAGTTTGGACGCCAGCCCCTGAGAGAGATGCAAATAACCGAGTAGAGTAGAGCATCGCCTCACTGAGTAGGTCCTGGGGAAAACCCCTGATAGTAATGCCTCATGCAGCACATACTCCCACTCACAATGTATACTTCACACTAGGGGTGGAAGCTTTACACCTCAACATTCATAAGTGGTTTACATGCTATTTGTCTGTGTTTTTGTCACAATTTTATTTTTTATTTTTTTGTCACAATCCTTTCCCAACTGTCTCTGAAACGCGTTTCCTTCCACCTGTCAGACGTAACTGCATCCTGGCAGACGAGATGGGCCTGGGCAAGACCATCCAGTCCATCACATTCCTAGAAGAGATTTACCGCGTGGGCATCAAGGGGCCCTTCCTGATCATTGCCCCACTCTCCACCATCGCTAACTGGGAGCGGGAGTTCCGCACCTGGACCCACCTCAACATCATCGTGTACCATGGAAGCATGGTCAGCAGGCAAATGCTCCAGCAGTATGAGATGTACTTCAGGGACTCACAGGTAAATTTAAAAGTAGTGATGGATACATGTGAAACGGGATGTATTTGTAGGGCCTGCCTCCCAGTTCACTGGAGTGTAAATTTGCATGGGCTGGCTGTTTTTGATATTGAAATGTATGTTTCAATTAAGTGTGTGAGGGTGCCAATGCTAAAGATCTAAGCCCTGTGCCAGGTCCCTGTTGCTCTGGAAACAGGAGAGGACAGGGATGTCTGTTTTGAGTATTCAGAGGCCTTTTGGTTCTTTGCTGTGAATACCTCGGAGTGGAAAGCAGTGATTCACTTAGATTAAAATAATCACAGTGCTTTTAGAAAACAGTGACATTGTGTCAGCAACATGAAATCCTGTGAGTAATGTAATGATATGTTTCTGAACCGGAGGTCTGCCTACAACAATCGGAGTGAATTATTGAAAGGCTTGGCAGAGCGTGGTTACCATACGCAGCACAGACCCAGATACTCTTCCCTCAGTGTGTCACTGGGAAGTCACACCTGTGGCAGGAGGGGGAAACTAAGCTGCAGCTGAAAAGCTGTCAATATCTCTACTGAGCACAGATTTTCCAAATGATGTGTGACAAATTAGTCGAAAAAGCCATTTGCGCAGCTTTACTGATGCCATTATTCAGATATATCTCTACATTCATTCATTAAAAGGTTCAGTTGATGGTAGATTCACTTTTGATTATCAAGTCTTCAGCTGAAGCAATTTATAAGCAAAAGCCTTCACTGTGCTGGGAGTTAGAGCATTTAATACTAAGATGGCACATGAAAAGAAGCGGACAGGGCTGCACGCCTGACAATAAGTAGGTTGAGAGGTAGTTAGTGAGCCTTGAGCAGAGGCTTTTTGTGGTTGGCAGGGCATGTGATGTTTCACAACAGGCAGAGGGGAGCTCTTAGTGTTCAGGCGAGCCTTGGTAGAAATTAAGGTGAGAGAGAAGAGAACAGAGCGAAGCCGCCACCAAGCTGTCTCCCAGGCAGGCTGTGATGTCGTAGCACTCCCCAAGCGGAGCACTCTGTCAACGCTGATCAGGCACATTAGAGCGAGTGGCTCCTCCACAGCATCGTGTTGACTGGCTGGCTGGCTGGCTGTGGGAGGGGGTTACAGGATAACTGAATATCCCCTGAGGACTGTTGTCAAGGCAATAGATACACATGGAAAGGTGGGTTAATGCTAAGTCTCCCCAGATAGGCAAACAAATAAACAGCGTTAAGACTTGCAGGCAGGCACTCATGTTTTGGCGATACAGTGAGTCGCCTCCAAACAAAAGGCGCGTTTTTGTCGTCTGTGAAATTTAAATGAAGGACACCATATGTTTGTGGTCACAGGCAAATGGTTGCAAATATCCGGTGCACTAGAGAATTATATACCTTATTTATGCACATATTTATTCCTCCTGTTCCCTTGCACGTGAACAAAAACATGTTTAACTTGGATTTCTTTTCTTTGTGAAGTTCTGCTTCTTTTTCTAGATTGTAATAGACAGAAGCCGTACCTCCACTTTCCCCTGGTGTCATGTCTGAATTGTCTACTTGTCCTCTTTGATTAAAGGGTCGTGCAATACGAGGTGCCTACAGGTTTCAGGCTGTTATCACGACGTTTGAGATGATTCTGGGAGGCTGTCCTGAGCTCAACGCCATCGAGTGGCGCTGTGTGATTATCGATGAGGCTCATCGTCTCAAGAACAAGAACTGCAAGCTGCTCGAGGGCTTCAAGCTCATGAATCTGGTTGGTAAACAGTAACATGTTTCAGATTATTTAACTGGAGCAAAGGTTTATGCTGTAGTTGAACAACTTCAAACTGGTTTGACTTGAACAGGAGCACAAAGTCTTGCTGACCGGCACCCCTCTCCAGAACACAGTAGAAGAGCTTTTCAGCCTCCTCCACTTCCTGGAGCCGGCACGCTTCCCATCTGAAAACACCTTCATGCAAGAGTTTGGAGACCTCAAGACTGAGGAGCAGGTGAACTCTTAGTTTTGTGGAGATTATGTTTCTGTTCTCAGTGTTTAAAAGGCCTTACCCTAAAATGTATCAGAGGGCTGAAGGATGTTTTATTCTTAGTCAAAAGCTTTCAGCAGATCTTCAATGATAAGAGCGTCAAAAGTTGTGGGGCTGAAAGTGGAGTCATTTGGAAACCTGTGTTGTAAAATGTGAGATACTGAATCTAAAAGCCACAGGAAGTGTGTCGCCCTAAATGTGGTAGAAGCTGCTGAGGATGTGTCGAAACATGATTAACACCACATAACCTACTATTGTTGGAAATGCACTTCTGCAATATGTTTAAATTTAAGAAATGTAAAGAACAGGAATGCCGCACTGTGGCAAAATGCCTATGACTGCTTAGAAGCTGCTGGATGTCAAAACTCTGTCGTACTTTCGACCCATAGGTTCAGAAGCTTCAGGGCATCCTGAAACCCATGATGCTACGCCGATTGAAAGAGGATGTGGAAAAGAAGCTGGCACCTAAAGAGGAAACTATTATTGAAGTTGAGCTCACCAACATTCAGAAGAAATATTATCGTGCCATCCTTGAGAAGAACTTTTCTTTCCTGGCTAAAGGAGCCGGCCAGGCCAATATGCCTAACCTGGTCAACACCATGATGGAGCTTAGAAAGTGCTGCAACCACCCCTACCTCATCAAAGGTAGGATGGTAGTTGAACTGACAAGATGCTGCTATGTCTACACTTTCCTGTTTTTCAGAGAAAACCGCGAAAACTTTAACTAGAATGTGCACATGTTTTGGTCAGTACCTATTAAAAGATCAAATTCATGGCTCAGTTATTATGACTAGATAGTAAACCTTGGTGATAAAAGTTTACTAAACGAAGCATGAATAACACAATGTTGCTGATGTCTTTGTCTTTGTAATGTTAGGGGCAGAAGAAAAGATCCTTGAGGACTTCAGGGAAGTACACAGTCCCACTGCCATTGACTTTCACCTGCAGGCTATGGTCCAGTCTGCCGGGAAGTTGGTCCTTATAGACAAATTGTTGCCTAAGATGAAGGCAGGAGGCCACAAGGTGCTTATCTTCTCCCAAATGGTGCGCTGTCTGGATATCTTGGAAGACTACCTCATCCAGAGACGGTAATGTAGATTGGAATCATTGCTGTTGTGCATGTCTGAACTTCTTTTATTAAAAAAAACAAAATCAGGCTTTTACCGATCTTTTTAGAAATACATAGAGGCAGCCACATATTATGACATATGTCCACTGTCCAAATAGCAACAGATCTCAACTATATTTATGTTTTTTCCAAATTTCCATGGCTGGATTTGAAGTGCCCTTTTTTTTACCCCACCCACAGAACACAGTAGCACCTCCAAATGATAATGGCGCTGATTCAGATGTGCATCATAGTCATACAGCAAGTGTAAACAAACAGCGTCTGTGCATATAGAAATTAGGCCTGTCCATTGTGTCTAGGTGTGCGTTTCTTTGTGAGTTTGTGGTGTTTTAAGTAAAGCTCAAAAGTCCCTCTATAACCTTGAATGGAGTGAGGAGTTTAGAATTTAGACATTGTGGAATGTTTGGTTACACAGGAGATTTGGGGTGTGTGCTTCTTATTTTAGTCTAGAACAATTGTTCCTATTTCCTCCTCTTTCTTTCCACTTAGTTTCCTTACTTCTTGTCACTTTCTTTGCCTTCTTTCAGTGCTCTGTTGTCTCTGTCTTCCTTTCCGTCTCTCTGCTCTGGCTTCCTGCCAGAAGCCGGAGCAAACCTGAAACTGTCTGTTGTAACCATGCGAGAAGCTGCACAGCACAGACCTCAGTCAGGGTTCAGCAGCAGGCTACAGGAGCCCTCAGGGCTCCACTGCATCAGACGAGCCGGAGATTCTGTGCGGTTTTTCTTGAGTAGAAGTGGATTACCTCCGGGAAAGCAGGGGGTGGGATTGTGGAGAAGGGATGAGATCGGACACAGTGTGAAGAGCACAACCAGTCCTTGATGTCACTGTGTTTGAGGATGTTGTTTCTTGGGTCAAGATAGGAAGAAAGAAAAAGTTTGAGTGCATTTTATAATAGTGTTTTCTAGTTGGAGCACTTGAGCTTGTTGTTGAAAGACGTCTGCTGCCCATGTGCACGTATACCTGAATCGTCTCATCATGACTCAAGCTTTGACTGGGTTATTTATATCAGCCTTCATTTTGTTTTATTCTTGTTTGCTGTCTGTGGGGTTTTGTGTTGCAGGTACTTGTACGAGCGCATTGATGGACGCGTCCGCGGAAACCTGCGGCAGGCTGCCATTGACCGCTTTAGTAAGCCGGACTCGGACCGCTTTGTTTTCCTCCTGTGCACAAGAGCTGGTGGCCTGGGAATCAACCTCACCGCAGCAGACACCTGCATTATCTTTGACTCCGACTGGAACCCACAGAACGACCTGCAGGTGGGACTCACTGTAGATTCGGATTTTGAAGCGTTGACGTGTAACTTCCTGTTGGTCTTTGTAACCTCTGTTTGGTCAGTAAAACTTAACTTAAGCCAAAGGTACAGATGAAGCAGAAGCTCCTTTTTTCTTTACACATTTTGTGCACTTGGCTAAGTTTGCCTCCGCTTCACAGGCCCAGGCTCGCTGCCATCGGATTGGTCAGAACAAAGCGGTGAAGGTGTACCGTCTGATCACCAGGAACTCGTACGAGCGGGAAATGTTTGATCGGGCCAGCCTAAAGCTGGGCCTGGATAAAGCAGTGTTGCAGAGCATGAGTGGTCGTGATAACAGCCTGGGAGGAGGAGGAGGAGGAGCTGGAGGAGGAGCAGGAGGAGGAGGAGGCGCTGGTGGCGGCGGTGGCGGCACCGGGGGAGGGGTGAGTTCAATAACTGCCTGAAATGGTCTGAAGAAGAAACATGGAATTACACGGCCAATTGTCAATTTTTTTCTCATGATGTTGCACGTAAGATTTTTGTCTGGTAAAATGATTACACAAATGAACTAGAATTTTTATAGTGGAAAGGTTTAAAGCACATAATCTTCAACTCTGAAGATCAGATTGTGGATAAGTAGACAAAAAACAAAAAAAGTAGAAAAGTCCAATTGAAACAAATACAGTTTAACAAATGAGTCAGAACAAAAGCAGAGGCAAAGCCAACATTCAAATTAAATAAAACAGTCATTAGCTCAGCTTCCCTGCTGTCATCTTAGGAAATGAATGATAACATGACTAGTTACCATTTTAATCTGATGATAAAGACACAAGTCATACTCAGGGTTCTGATTTTTCTGAGGTGGCATTAAAGATGGTGGACAACATTTCGATTTGAGCCAAAGAATTAACCAGATATGAAAACAATCCCAAAACACGAGGGTCAAAATTTGCTCTTGATATGTAGCTGATCCTGTTAGTTTAATCTGTGTGTGAGGGAGTGTATCAGCCATGTGTGTAGTGTGTAGGTGGATGTTGAGCGGCACTTTTGGTCCTCTTGAGAATTATCTGAACTGTAAGGAGGTGGAGGTATTAGCTGTTTTCTACATCTGGTCTGAACATATTTGCATATGAAACAGCTGCTGGGGTGAGATACAGGACTGCTGATGACCGTTTTGTCTGGCATTATGTAGATCGTTTTCCTTTCTCCTAAATACAAACCTCTTACACACCTCTCAGGCTGTGCAGCAGCAGTTATCTAAGAAAGAGATTGAGGATTTGCTGCGACGCGGTGCCTACGGGGCCATCATGGATGAAGAGGACGAAGGGGCCAAATTTTGCGAGGAGGACATTGACCAGATCCTCCAGCGCAGGACAAAGACCATCACTATTGAGTCAGAGGGACGAGGATCCACCTTTGCTAAGGTGAGCTGAATGGCTCAAATGCTCAATGGGTGGTTTGTTTGTTGCGTTTCTACTCATACTCGTTACCATCTAACAACTGACTGTCTGCCATTGATTTACGACCAAGAGCAGCTGCCAAAAAAGAAAATTGGATTATGGTTTGATTTGATTTTGATGTCTGCTTTCAGGCCAGTTTTGTCGCATCCGGAAACCGCACAGACATCTCTCTAGATGACCCCAATTTCTGGGACAAGTGGGCCAAAAAGGCTGACATTGATGTGGATATGGTCAATGGAAGAGTAAGTACTGTGCTATCCAGAGAATACTAAAGCTGAGACTGAAGGCTCATCTAGCAGAGTTCAGCCTTTCATTTAACTGTTATAGGCCTCATTTGCTTAAAGTCTCTCAAATCGTGTTTATTCCCCTCTCTCGACCTACAGAACAGCTTGGTGATTGACACTCCTCGTGTTAGAAAACAGACGAGACCATTCAGTGCCACCAAGGATGAGCTTGCAGAGCTTTCAGAGGGCGAAAGTGACAGCGACGACACCAAACCGAAGCTCAGACGAAACCACGATCGCCAGAACAACTACGGCCGCACAGAGTGCTTCAGAGTAGAGAAGAACTTACTGGTATACGGGTAAGACTTAAAAGAATAATCTGTATTTGTATAGAATTCCTTTGAATTTTTACAAGCAGTAAAACATTCTGGAAATTTGTCCAATGAACCAATATGCAGAAAGAAATGGCCCTTAAAAAGATGTAATCAGGGTCTATTATCATTCTCCAATTTCTTTCTTTTTTTTTGTAATTGGCTCTTTTATTTGACCCAGATGGGGTCGTTGGAAAGATATTCTCAACCACGGTCGTTTCAAAAAGCAATTGACTGAGAGGGATGTAGAGTCCATCTGCAGAGCCCTGCTGGCTTACTGTCTGGTCCATTACCGTGGCGATGACAAAATCAAAAGCTTCATGTGGGACCTCATTGCCCCTTCTGAGGACGGACGCACAAAGGAGCTGCAGAACCACCTGGGTGAGTCTGAGGAATTCGCAGCCACTTTAACTCTGCCTTTCAAGCAAAGGCATCTGGGGAATGCGTTTTTCTACACGTCACCTGTGACAATAACTCACACTTGTTTTGTTTTTTTGTTTTTTAATCAGGCCTGTCTGCTCCAGTCCCTCGGGGCAGGAAGGGTAAGAAGATGAAGACCCAGTCTAGCTCTTTTGACATCCACAAGGCTGAGTGGCTTAGGAAGCACAACCCTGAGCACATGCTCCAGGACGATGGCTACAAGAAGCACCTTAAACACCACTGCAACAAGTACGTGTCACCTAATGCTGCCTCAATGTTAGTCACATGGTTAGGGTTGGGATTGAGGTTTTCCTTTCTTTTTTTCTTTTTTTCCTCTCATGAGAGTGAGAGCTTTAGAAAATTCTAACAACTGGTGGGTGGTCATCAGTTTCCTCTTAACAGCCATTATCCCCATTTATTTTCTAACAGAATAAAACCCAAGTGGATGAAAATACAATTTGCACATGGCTTACATTCTAAACGTGCTACTGCCAAGCTGGCATAATTAGGAGGCAGGCAAACATCTATTGGAGCTGACAGGGTGCTGATTGATTAACGAACGCGAATCACACTGAGCCTCGCTGGCTGATAAAAATCTTCATGAGACTTCAGGCCGGCTAATGGCCATCATAGATCTCTCCTATTTTCAGACAGACGGGGAAAGATGGCCGCTATCAAAACATTTTCTGCTGAGATATAAAGCCGAATAGATGGCTGCTTCTTTTTAAATAGAGGCTTGTGTGCGTTGGGCTTTGGCTGCAGAGCACTGCAGCTTTCATAGAAAGTTCGCCATTGTTTCCTTGCCCAGTAGTGCTGAATCCAGGGATTGTCTGATATGTGACACGCCGGGCAATGGGGGACATGCAGCGAGCAGAGTTTGCTGACTTCGGCATTTTCTCTCAGAGGACCTGGAATGTGACCGGGGGTGTGGGTGTTGGGGCTCTCTGGCTTCCTTAACAAGAATGCTAATGTGGGACACGGCTTGGACACCATAAGAAGCTGTGAATGAGTGAGGGTTTACAAAAGGTTCCAAAACATAGATCAAAATGTGAGATCAGAATACTTGCATAATACATTTCTGGTTAGGGGGGAAATTACTATGAATATTTGAGTCTAATTTGGCATTTCAGAATTTTGAGAGCCGAGAACCCGTTTATGGCGATTTTGTGTTTTGACCCAGAGTAACGGTCCCTCTGTGAGGCATCTCAAAGTATGCATGTCACCCATGTCATGCATACTTTACTCATGTTGTCTGAAAGACTGCACACAACTGTGCTGAGATCCCCTTCAGCCTTTGGAGTTACCATATCTCACAGATACCACACACCAACAAAGGCCTGGAAAGGGGGTGATGAAGGGCTGTGCTGACAGGCAGAGGAAGCAGCAGCAGCTGCTCCTGGGCGGGTCCGGTCCACACAGAAGCACAGAGGGTGGAGGAGGGACAGGAAGCGAGCTCAGCTCTAATTTGACAGGGCTACAAGCCCAGACTGGACACCAGAGACAGGCAGACCAGACGGACAGACCTCGGAGCCCTGCAGTTGTTCCTTGTTCCGTCAGTGAGATTGAGGGAGGAGTTTCAGCTGGTTTCTAGCTATATTCAGCAGTTACATCAGAAGAAAGCTGGAATGCTAACCATCCTGTAGTTGTGGCAAAGCCCAATCCTTTCAATGCTCTGGAGAGGTCGTAGGTCAGCCTAAGTGATAAATATAGCACAATTGGGTTAAAAGACGTTTTCATGTGGCTGTAACCACAAAAAGCAGATGCAGTTAAGCCTTTATCTGAGGAAATGATTCTCATGTTTATTGTTGCTCATTTTTATAATGAACTTCTCAACTCTATTATATCCCTTTTATGTTTTAATAAGAATGTTTTAATATTTCTGAAGAAAGTTTGCTGGCTGGCCATTAATGAAAACAGACATGAATTATAGTAGATGATTTTACTCTCCTTGAAAACGGATTCAAGAGGATTTAATATCCCAACAGCACATTTTCCCTGAGGGTTTTCAGATGAAATTCAAAATAACTTGCTATTGATGTTATTGCACAGAATGCTTTCGCTCTTGAGAAAACTCCCCAGTCATACCAGATGTAACAGCATGGCACACCACAGTTCCCACCACTCCACTGCGTCTCTTCTTGGAGGCTGCTGTCTGTGATGTGCGATCATGCATCACAGAGCTAATGTCTCCCCTGTGAGTCATGCTCTCTCTACCTTGTCAGCCTCGACATCCCAGCCTTCATCTTCTGCCAGCATGTGACCACGTGACAACTGGAGGGAGACACTCGTCTGCTCATTCAGTCATCAGCGTCTTGATTTAGGGCTGCTCATGAGTCCCTGTGAGGTCTATACAATAATGTCTACCTCACAAATGCGCTAATTAAGAGTTAATTGACCAGACTTGGTGCGTCTTACGTCCTGTTTTAAAGTTATGCACCAATGGAAAAAATAATAAAAGTCACAACAGTGTATGTATCACAGCGAAGGTTACAGGACCATTACTACAGTGTTTGGTTAGTGGCTCATTTGGCACAAATTTCCCTCATTTGCATCCTATTTAATAGGAGTTTGTGTATGCGGGCGTGTGTGTGGGTGGCTATGTTGGTTCTGCTCGCTCAGCGTTTGCATGTGGTCGGGGCTTTGTTGTAACCAGTGGGTTTTCTCTGTGCAGGGTGCTGCTCAGGGTCAGAATGCTCTACTACCTGAAACAAGAGGTGATAGGAAGCCAGGCTCAGAACGTGCTAGACGGCGTGGACTCCAGGTGAGCACAGCACTGACCGCCTCAGACGGTACATTAGAGTACTTGCACTGAGGATTCAAATTATTTGTAGGGCTACTTTTACTGCTCAAGATGCTTATTTTTACAAATAAAAAACAGCAAATTAATTAAATGCTAGATTAGATATTTATACTCTGAATAGTAGAGAGCAGCTCCAAATAGTACGATGGTTGAATTTTACAGTCCTATATGATCAGTCACTAGTTCAGGAGGTTTTATTTAAACGGCCCAGTCAAATGTGTTCAGCTGCAGTCCTTTGTTAAAGTGGTATAGGCACCTTAGAGAACAGATTATCTGTGTTTTTCTTCGAGTGACCAAGGCCTCTATCACATATGATCCCAACCCTTTGAAAGAAAAAAAACACAGCTTCAGCAAATTCATAAGAAGGCTGTAGACCACCACCTGGTGGAAGAAGATGAGATTTATTTGTTCTCTTTGCCAGTGGAACACAGAACATACAGTATATTTACACGGAACAGAAGAGATATAACATATAAACATTCCTTTTCATAGCACTTCTCATTTTAACGCATCTTTCCCTCCCTATCCTCAACAGTGAGATAAAGATCTGGGTGCCAGATCCTGACCACTCCGAGCTGCCAGCCCTGTGGTGGGATGCGATCTGTGACAAGTGTCTGCTGCTTGGTGTCTTCAAACATGGTAGGAAACTTGGTTCTTTATATGTTTATTGGACAAATAAAAAAGATAATAAAAAATGGTAAAATGAAGTGATAAAAAAACTTTGGTTAGTAATGTTATTACCCCGTATTTGATTTTATCCAGTTACTTTTTGTGCCCTTCAAATTTTTCTGTCTGATCAGTTTGTAAATATGTCTAAAAGTTGAGCTTTTTATAGCTCATTTTCCACCGATAGCAGGTGTCTGGTGGGAAATCAACCAGCTTTTATGTATTTCCTGGACCATATCTGCAGCATTATCTTTTGCTAATTTTGGCTTTTGCTTATCCGCCTCCACACTCCCAGGTTATGAGAAGTACAACACTATCCGTGCAGACCCCACTCTGAGCTTCTTAGAGCGTGTGGGTCGACCGGATGAGAAGGCCATCGCTGCCGAGCAGAGAGGCAACGATTTTATGGATGGGTGGGTACTCATCAGCAGGCTAAGGCCCTAAAAATACGTAGTTTATTTTTTATTTTTACCTTGAACAGCAGGTTTTGATATCCTTTTATATTTACATAACATTTTAAAAATCTGTATCTGTGCGTAGGGATGTGGATGATCCAGAGTACAAGCCTGCTCCTGCTCTTATAAAAGATGACATGGAGGTAAGACCACATAGATTTATTTGTATATATATATATATATATATATAGTTTTGTATAAATGCTCTCTGTCTTCTGTCACAGGATGATGCCTCTTCTCCTGGAGACTTGGTTGTCTCTGATAATGCTGGAGGTGAGTATTAGATGTTTATAATCTTTAGTGAAATTATGACATTATACACAAGAAACCTGAAATTTTCAAGCCTCAAAACATTTTTAGAATCTTTAATTTTTTTTGTTCCTTGCATCCAGATGCAGCTCCAGTGATGACAGAAGGCCAAACTGCCTACTGGCCCCCCCCCCTCCGTTTTGACAGCTCGGCTGAGGCGCCTGATCACAGCCTCCCAGCGCTTCACCAAGAGCCGGCAAATCCTGCACATACACCAGTCCCAGTCTCAGTCCCTGCCCCAGCAGACCATGATACTCTCTGCTCCGCTCTGCCCACTGCCCCCCACGCTCAACGATACACTAAATCCGAAAATGGCAGCAAAGATTGAACGGCAACAAAGGTCTGGACGCTAATCACAACAGTGATATTGCTGCAGGCACACACGTGACTGATGACGGATCAGAAATATGATTTTGCTCTGGCTTTCCTCTTTACAGATGGACCAGACGAGAGGAAGCCGATTTCTACCGGGTCGTGTCCACTTTCGGTGTTGTTTTCGACCCAAACCTGGGGCGGTTTGACTGGACCAAGTTCAGGGCCATGGCTCGGCTGCACAAGAAAACTGACGAGAGTCTGCAGAAATACCTGTGCGCCTTTACCGCCATGTGCAGACGGGTGTGTCGGCTACCACCCAAAGAGGGAGGTCAGAAGCCTGTTTTCTTACTCGCTTATAAACACACAGACAAGCAGACAACCCATCAGTCGTCATCTCTGCTGTTGAGAGGTGGACATGTGCAGGGAGACCTTCCATAAAAGCTGCACTTTTACTAACAAATTCATGCAAATGCGTTTAAAAAGAATAGTTGCACTCGGCCTGTTTGGGCTTGTTTTGAAGAGCAGTCAGTGGCACTGTGGCAAAAAAGCCATCTCAGCAGTTCTGAGTTAAACAGCTGATAAGGTTAATCATTAGAGGAAAGATAAACACTGTGATCTTCCAGCTCCAGGTAAAAGCAAGTCTTTGGGTTGTACATCAGGAGAAGCCTTGATTTCCTCACACCTGCTTGTTTTTTCTTAACCAGACGCCACGGTGGACCCGTCTCTGAACATCCAGCCCATCACAGAGGAGCGAGCGTCTCGTACCCTCTACAGAGTGGAGTTGCTGCGGCAGGTGCGGGAGCAAGTCCTCCGCCACCAGTTACTGTTCGAGCGTCTGTCTCTGTGCCAGATGAGCTCTGACCTGCCTGTGTGGTGGGAGGCCGGCGCTCATGATCGCGACTTGCTGATTGGTGCCGCAAAGCACGGCGTCAGTCGCACTGACTACCACATCCTGAGAGACCCCGAGCTCAGCTTCATGGCGGCTCAGCGCAACTACAGCCATTCGAAAGCTGCGCAGCAGCAGCCGCGCACGTCCACCCCGCTTTTACTCCCCCAGCCACCGGGGGCCAGCTCAGCGCTGACCGGCTCCCCGCAGCCCCCACCCATCCAGAGAGACGCAGATCCCCCTGCGGTGGTTCTCAAAGCGGAACCAGCGTCAGAGGAGGAGGAGAGCAAAGACAAGCAGGGAGAGAGATGGACCCCCCCCCAAGCACCCGCCACTCCCACAGGCCTAGATGAGAAGCCTGTTTTAGAGGCCAAGGACAGCGAGAAGCAGATGGTGGCAGCACGCACCAAGCCGCTCACGCCCAACTCCTCAGAGAGGAAACCCAAGAAAGCCAAGAGGAGCCGCCGGGAGGCCAGGCGTGGCTCCGAGTCCGACTCGGACGGCTCCTCCTCCAGTACTTCATCACGCTCATCTTCATCATCGTCGTCATCCTCCTCCTCATCACATTCCGGGTCCAGCTCCTCTTCCTCCTCTTCGTCTTGCTCCTCTGGCTCCTCCTCATCGTCCTCCTCCTCCTCGTCCTCCTCGGACAGTGAAAGCGAGGGAGAGGAGGCAAAGAAGAAAGGCAAGCATCTGTTTTCTGAGAGCTATCCGCGCTCCTGATAGTTTGATGTGCGTTTCTAATGTCTGTCTGTCTCTGTGATCTTCACAGTGCCTGCAGCAACAAGTGTAAAGGGCTTTGATGAGGACAGTGTGACATCTCTCAACACTACACAGGATGAAGCGCAAGACACCCACATGGCTGAGAATGGCGTCTCCACAAACTCCTCTCACCCTTTTCAGGGAGGGGGGTACATGCTGGCAGCATCATACTGGCCAAAGGTAAAGTACAGCTGATGTTACTTTAAGCTGTTGTAAATACCCACTGAACTTTTCTAAATGAGTCTTGTCACTGAGCTGGCGTCATGTTGGCGAGTTGGATCTTTTTTTAGCCGATCATCCAGTATGACTTTGTCTACGATGATTAGCGCTCAGGATCTAAATCATGAAATCAACATGTCGACTTGCAGCATGGAGGTGAATTAGAGGGAAAGCCAGCTGAGATTTTCCGATGCCTTTGTTTTTTTAGGATCGTGTGATTATCAACCGCCTGGACAGCATCTGTCAGGCGGTGCTGAAAGGCAAGTGGCCAGGCCCACGTCGGGTCTATGAGCCCGGAAGTGCAGTGGCCTCCTTCTACACCACCAAGCTGCTGGACAACGCCAACAGCCTGTGCGAGGACCCCTCTGCCTCGCCACAGGGGTCAAAGGTGACCAAGCATGTTGCAGAAAACAAGGAGTTCTCAGTAAAACTCAATGATGTATGTTGATTTCTCCCTTCCTCCCCTGCTCCCTCTGCTTCAGCCCTAATCATAGGACCCTCCCACTTCCGCTGCCCCGACTGGTGTTAGCTGCCGCGTTCAGCATGTTTATCTGGTCCCCAACTTGCTTTCCTTTGGGGATGATTAACAGTTTAGACTGCCTGGCAGGAGGAGAGATTAATTTAATAGCAGGCTTCCTCTCTTTTCCCACACACTCAATTTGAATGAGGTTCTTTAGCCTGTGATTACATGAGCACAAATCATTCAGTCAAGAGAATATAATAAGGTTCAGTTTGAAACCTCTCTAGACTGAAGGGGTCTTTCTAGTAATCTGATTGAAATGGAGACCTCTGCTCAACGTGGCTGTTGACTTGGCAGAGTTGAGGTTTTCTATTTTCCCCTGCTTATGTGCTGCTTTTTTTTTAAACATCAGAACGTGATTGGCTGTGCCACCTTAGACACCCGCTGCTTGTTCCCTTTAAAACGGACTTTACACTATATGCCGTCAGCAGCTATAATTTTGGCATGGCTTTCAAGCTCAGTCCAAACTATGAATAGTCTCTACCCAGTTCCCTGCTAAGCACTACCCGCTAAGCACTACCCACTACATGTCCATGTGTCCCAGTAATACTAACAAAAACCAGCCTGAACAATGTGTTCCATTACTGTTTGAATAGCTTATTTACAAGATTTATGAAAAGGAAGGGGATATTCAGACAGCACATACAAAAGCATTTGCTTTGCAATCCTTAGATTAAATTGGTAACAAAAAGATTGCAGCCGATTCAATAAAAGCCTCTGGAAGTTGAGCTGGACATTTTCGTCTGAAAAGGAGGAAAACAGACCTCATAAGAGGTCTGTTTTTCCTTTTATGTTTTCATTGAACTGTCTGACACTTCTGTTTTTCGTTTACAGCAGGAGGGAGGACTGAAGCTGACCTTTCAGAAACAGGGTCTACCTCTGAAACGGCCCCTGGACTCTGAGGAAGGCCCCCAGGCCCAGCAGCAGTACCTGGCCCGACTCCATGAGCTGCAGAGTGCTTCAGACACAGGCCTGGCTGACATCACAAAGCCTCAGAGCAGCCTCCAGAATGGTGTGTTAATCCAAATCCAGCGAATGCAACTCCAGCCTGTGTGCAGAAATGGGCCACATTGTTTCCCTTCTGTCACCACTAGATGGAAGTAGTGTATAGCTTTGGTAGCTGCTGAGAGGGTACCATGGAAACCAATCTTCCTCTCAGATATTTAAAGACTTGTATAATAGTTATTTATTTTGTTAGATATCTGAACAGAGTTAATATCCAAACATTTGACTCTTTAACTTTAAGGTGCAGTAGTAGTTCATCTAACAGGTTTCTCTTTCAGCTCCTCCTGGGTTTGCTGGCCAGTTAAGGCTGAACGGAGCATTGGACGGTCAGCCCATGGTGAAGAAACGAAGAGGGAGGAGGAAGAATGTAGAGGGGATGGACCTGCTCTTCATGAACAGAAATCAAGTACCTGCTGTTCCCACTCAGGTGAGGAGTGTTTAGAAATATAAATCCCAGGAGTTTGGAACTTAGAAATCAGTAAAAGCAGTAAGTGTGTTAAGTTGCTGTGTAGATTAGGAGGTTTGGTTTTTATTTATGCACAGTGAACTGTATGAAATGAGCTTCTTTGTTACCAAAAGCTGAAAGCATTGGGCTCTCGTGTTCAGGTGCCTCCAGGGTGGGGGGGCATAGGGCAGGTGGGCATGGCTGGAGTGGCTGTGCCGGGTGCCAGTCAGCTCCCCTCAGACACCGAGAGCAGAGTCCCTGTCATCAACCTTAAGGATGGCACCCGACTCGCGGGGGATGACGCGCCCCAGAGGAAAGATCTGGAACAATGGCTGAAAGAGCACCCTGGCTTTGTGGCAGACACCGGAGCCTTCATACCTGTGAGGACTGCTTTCTCCTTTCTCCACAGGCCACATTTCTGTTTGTCCTGCAGAGAAACTCATTGTCAAAGTTCAGCACCTATTTCTCTAACTGAAGTACAGAATACGTCTATCAGTGCCAAAGTGATTTATTTTCTTTCATCCATTATTTCCAGGGCGTTAATAAGATGCAACTGCAGTTCCACTTTCAGGATGGTCGGCCCAAACAGAAAAGACACCGCTGTAGGAACCCAAATAAGATCGATGTCAACAGCCTTACAGGAGAGGAGAGGGTCCAGATCATCAACAGGAGAAATGCACGCAAGGTATGTCTGTGTCTGTGTTTCCAACAGGGAACACAAAGAACAACGATTAAGTAACAGAATACACGTGTGCTCTTCACATGTTAAACACATGTTAAACACCTTGTTTCTTCTGTAGATTGGTGGTGCTTTTGCCCCCCCTCTGAAGGATTTGTGCCGGTTCCTTCAAGAAAACCCAGAGTACGGAGTCCCACCAGAATGGGCTGATGTAGTTAAACAGTCGGTGAGTGTCGAAGTCTGAAACACTGTATGTACGTCCAAAAGAAAAGGAGATGGCTTCTCATTTGAGAGGGTTAGATATGTTCCAGAGGCATGTTTCCTGAGAAGATGGGCACCCGCAATTAGTGTGGCCATTGTAATGCAAGAGACGATGACATGCAAAAAGATTGATCTTTTAACGCTACCATTTCAAAATTCACACAAAGACGAACATTATTTCATTCCAGCCAATAATTCTACTGGGTTCGATGTGTTGACTCTGAGCCTGCACAAATGCAGAAAGCTGGTGAATTAAACCACACACATTTGATTAAACTGAGAGTAAAAGTGTGTTCTTTCTTTAAATTAGTTTCAGTTCATTTTTTTGGATGGAACTTTCTGTATGTTTCCAGTAGGGGGCCCTCAGAGCTGCTATTCTCTATGTCTTAGACATTTACTGTTTTTGGTTTCAGTAACATCAAATCTTTGCTGGTGAGCCATGCCACCTTGGTCACTTTGTCGGTGTGCTCTGTGTTTCACCCAGGGTTACCTTCCAGAGAGCATGTTTGATCGGATCTTGACGGGGCCCATCGTTCCAGAGGAGGTGAGCCGGCGAGGACGGCGACCGAAGAATCCTCTGGCAAAGGCGGCGGCCACGGCAGCCGCGGCAGCATCCAACCCGGCAGCCTCTGCCCTGGGTTTGAACCCTCTGCTGGCCAATGGCCTCCTCTCAGGCATGGACCTCACCAGTCTGCAGGCCTTCCAGCAAAATCTCCAGAGCCTGCAGTCCCTACAGCTCACAGCAGGCCTGATGGGGCTGCCGTCTGACGCCGGCAACCTGGCTGCCAGCAATCTAGCTGCTATGTTTCCCATGATGCTGTCCGGCATGGCCGGACTGCCCAACCTGCTGGGCATGAGCAGCTTGTTGGGGAAGTCGGCTCAGGAAGGTGCTGGAGGTTCTGAAGAGAAGACGAAGGGATCGGGCAGCGGAGGATCGGGAGCGCCATCTGCCTCCCAAACCCCGTCTCACACCTCAGACACCAAAGGAGAAAGGACCGAGGGCTCGAACGCCACTCCTTCCTCTACTTCCAGCTCCGCTTCCTCTGCCACTGCTACACAAAGTGCTTCATCAGCCTCTGGAGCCTCCAGTCACCCACTCTCTCTTAACCCCTTGTTACTCTCCAGTATGCTTTACCCAGGGATGCTTCTCACTCCAGGCCTTAACCTTCCAGTGTCTCCCACACAGCCACAGAGCTCAAACAGTGACCCCTCCACCCTTCGACCCGCCGCTGCTCCCCCTCGGCCTGCCGCCACCTCCCAGTCATCGGCGCTGGAGACGGAGCAGCCACAGGCGGGGAAGGATGAAGAGGAGGATGATGAGGCACTAGAAGAGGCTTTGGACGACGAGGAAGAGGAGGAGGAATCTGCTGAACAAAAAGAAAACAGTGGTCCTGAAGGTTCAGCTAAAGCTGAATCGCTTTCATCAGAGTCTGGGAGCTCCTCTTCTTCCTCAGAAGATTCAGACTCCAGTGATGAAGACTGATCCTATGAATATATAATTCTAAATTTATTTATGTATGGCCTAGAAATGTAAACATATATTCACATATATATGGATTTTCCAGCACTTATGTTGCGATTTCTTTACGTGTAAATACAAGAACTAACTACAATGTTGTGTAATAAAGACTACAAAAACCTTTAAAAAAAAAGAAGAAAAAAAAAAGAACAGGAATTACTGACTTAAAAGGAACTGAAATAAAATGTTCGTGTCTGTTCACATGGTACAGTCTTGTTTTGAGACATTTTGCATGTCAGACTTTAGTAGGTTTCTGAACTCTGTGAACTTGTACCACGCGATGATGTACAATTGCAGCGAAAAAAAGGCATTATTGTAATTATGTTGGGATTAATTTTATTAAAAAAAAGTGAAACTACATCAACGCGCTCGTTGAGCTGTACTATTAATATATTTTGATTGTCGGGCCGCGGGGGGATTGACTCTCTGGTTTCACTTGTAAAGCGACAGTACTATTTGCAGGTTTGTTGACACTTATGCTTTGCAGACCATACGTTGGATATGTCAGCAATAACCTGGGCAGCTAATGAATGTCACTGAAGCTGTAGATTCTCTGTCTGCCTGTTTCCACCCCAGTGCACAACTCGCACAGCCTCAAACCTGTCACCAGTCATATCATGTTCAGGTTTTATTATTTTTTTGGTTTGTTTTTTTATTTTTATTTTGTCCATTCTGAAAAACTAAATGAAACTAACCTCTCTCTTAAATTGTCACAAATCGGAGGATGTGTATTTTCTGACCAGAAAATCTCGACAGTCATGATTTATCTGTCATACGATTTTTTCATTTCTGCTGTTTTCACGACTCTCGCCAATCGGATTTTTGATCTCTTATTTCGGCGTGGTGGCCAACGCGAGCGTGCCGCTTTCGGCTCCATCTGCACTTTAGCTTCCCACAGCAGGCATCCACCATGTTGTGCACATCTGTTGGTTCTGACTTAAAAAAGCTGTTTGAGCTGTGGTGAAAAAAAAAAAAAAAACTAAACAAAAAAAAAAACCTTCTACTGTGTGCCAAAAAACTGCCCTTTGACCTGTTGAGGTCCAGACAGTGTTGTGTGGACATTATTAGTACAAAGCCCGGTGTGTTTGACTGCTACCTTACCTCAACTTTGTAAAAATGGATTGGCTTCACTGTGCATGTGCATGGGTGTACTTTCCTTCTGTCCATGTACACACTGCCCCTGTTTCTGCTAGTCTGTGTGTCCGAGGCCTTTTCTCCCCACCCCGACCCCGACCCCCCCCACTCTCCAGCTCTGTACGGAGAGCTTCCGTCAAATTGTTTTTTCTTTTCTCTGGGCTGATATCTACTGCTTCCAGAACTTTCCATTATGAATGTTGAGTGTTTTAAAGGGGGCCTCGCGAGCCACATTACAAGTGTTCTTTACCTTCAAATGTGTCTCATCAGAACATTTTGGACATGTTGCATGAGCACTCACAAAATGTGTGCCACAAGCACAAACTGGATCCAGCGGGGGCTGAGCTTGTAGTGACCCGTGGGGATTTTTTTCTGAGTATTACATTTAGTGCCGTACAGGTCTGATTCAGGAAGGGCTTGATCAATTTCTGCTGGTGTTGCTGGGACATTTGCAGTGTTGTCTCATTCTGATTCACTTCATCCACGACTGTTCTGCTGATAAACTAGTGTTAGAAGTGCCCTTATCCTGCACCTCGCCCGCTCACATCAGTGTCCATGCCTCTGCGCTCTGTTCGGCCTCCCCGCACACGTCCATCCTCTCAGCTGTAACCGCCACACACAAACACTGGACTTCACTGGAGCCGACGTACTATTTTATTTTTATTTTTTTGGTAATGTCATTGGGCACAACAGTGCTCTCTCTCCCAGGACTGCTGTTACACAGTGGACTGTTAGACAAATAATTTCTACGCTGAGGTTTCCACGTGGGCCGAGGGCCCGCTAAAAGATACGTTTAGTTCCCAAGTATAGCTGTAGCATCTCTGGTGGGTTCAGCCATGAGCAACTGTTCGATCACAAAGACTGAAGACGCGTCTGTTTTCTAATGTTGCTTTAAAGGGGTTTTCTCGTATGCCTGTTCTATGTAGACCTCCTCATGGGTTTGCTTGCAATGCAATTGCTCTTCTTTTTTTTCTTTTTTTTAATTATTCCTAACAGTATGGTATTTTTATATGTCTGAGCAATGAACTTAAACATGCCACTGTCATTTTTGTATATCTGCACCTCTGCTCTCTTTTAACTTGTAGTGCCCTTATGCAAACACCCAGCCTCTGCTACGTTTGCTGTAGGCGACAGACCCAGTGGCTTTTTGTCACCCCTCAATGATCGGTCAATGGATTGTCGTTGACTCTGCATAGCCTCTGTGGGACACAAGTGGGGAAGAAAATAGACATTAGATGGGATGTTATGATTTAATGTGCTAGTTTTCCGCTTTGTTTCGGCTGTACTGTGCAAAAACAACTCCCAAAGCACTGTCGGCTCTAAAGAAGCAGTGCTGAATCTGAGCTGATGCCACAAATCTGAGTCCAATATGCAAGAGGAACGACGTAACACACTACTGCTGTACAGGAAGGTTTCCTTTCATTGTTCACACGTGTGATCACTTAAAGGACAGAACAAGCTTCATGGGTTCTGTTTTTGGTTATAGTTCAAGCTTGATCATGTAAATGTCAGTTTGTGTGTGTTTTTCTTCTTTCTTTTTTTTCCCCCCACTGAACAGTTGTAATATTTGCAATTTGTGGTCTGTGAAGTCAAAATAATTCATGTAGTGCAGGAAAATTGCGTCTTAAAGTCATTTGTAATTTATTGGATTACTTTCTATGAAGTTCTATAGAGGAAATTGAGGTTTAATTATTTTTATTAAACATATTCTTCTGACTATTAATTCAAGCGCGTTTGCATTTTGCTTTGTTTTACGGCTTTTTGCAAGACATTTACGATATGTCCTTTTTTTCTTTTTTTCTGCTTTACAGTAAGGTTTATGCAAAGGAGTGTTCTGAGAATGGGACTCCATTAAGGATTATGTCAGCAGCGGGATGGGGCTTAATGACAGAGTAGGTAATACAACAGGAGCTTTAACTGCAAGTTGTACTGCCACGTACCACCAATCTAAAGAAATGATCTTAACCTTATTGTTTTCATCTCTAAGGACTAAGAAAAATGCTTTTATCAACATAACATTTCTTGTCATGCTAATGTACCTACATTACACAACACTCAGTGCTTAAGGTAATGAATAAATATTTGCCTGAATATTCCACCCACGTTTTCTTTTAGTGTAAACGGGAATAGTGTTACAAACAGGCACATTATGTGTGTTAGCAGCCACATTAATCATGGAGGGCAGATGCTCCCCCTCCGGGTGACGCTCAGGCACCTCTGGCAGCAGCTGGCTGAGCTGCGTTCAGGGCCTCGGAAACGGGAAAATCCCGCCTTTTCCGACGGTTTTGAGATCGATGCAAAGACTCTGAAATTTCTGAAAATGTCAAATCTTCGTTTTTATGTTTCTTTCTATTGACTTATCTATTTTTCTGTCTTCATTAAGGAAAACTACTGTTTATTTCGACAGTAAACACACATGGCTCTTAAAAATGGCCAAAAAAAGATTACGCAAATAACTTGCAAATGTTCAACCAAGAGTTGTCAGGTAGAACAAGATTTGCATCATTTCACTTTGTGTGAGCCAATTCCTGGTATAAAAAACAGCATAGACACACATACGTCTGTGTATATGTCCATGGAAACAGTGCATTCCTACTTCCTGGTTGCTTTCTGATGACGCGCAGGAATAGCCCCGCCCAGACGATTTGGCGGAAGTTATGAGTTTAGCATCTCACATATGAATAACAGCCACTTGTCAGCGTACTAAAGCTATCCGGTAAGATTTCAGACTATTTGGCCTTCATGTCTACATTCTGTTTACACCCTTCCACACCGATTGTTCCTTGAGAACGTCGCTCACGCTCCCGTTTAAATCGAGGCCATAACCGTGCCCCGTCTTTAAATCCTTCTTTGAATTTGCTTTTTTGTCACATTGGTGTCCCTTTCCTTATTCCTGAAATCGTATGATCCTGTTCTCGTGTCGGTTTTGGTCGCACATAAAAAGCCATGTCCGGGAAAACCAGGACGTAAACGTCACTTCCAGCAGTTTTCTGAGGCGACGAGCAGGGGCACGTTTTGATCCGGTTTGAAATCAACTCCAACCAGAAACCAGAACATGGCTTTATTCGCCGAATGTACAACGTAAAATCCGACTCCAGATCAGACAACAGACATACGTAACTGACGGACTGGACCGGAGGCTACTTGGGACATTAGTCATTTATTAAGGCGCTCCGCTGTGTAAATACGCCATGAAAAAGAACATCTGGAAGGGAGGTGGTGAGGGTTTTAAAAAAGGCACGCTGCCACGCCCCCTACAGGGGAGGGATCAGATTTTAAAAAGCCAAACAGACATGTAGACGCCTGCATTTGCAGTTTCATCCAGAGAAGCAGCTCCAAGGCCGCTCTCTGGGAGCCACAGTGAGATAAGAAAAGATTGCTGTGTTCCAAGCAGGGCGTGTTTTGTCTTCCTTAAATCCTCAGCGGGTCTCACAATGGCGGTTCCGACTCAGCCGAATCCTGTTACCCTCAGTGCGAATGCAGCCCCTGCAGCTTGTCTCTGGGTAGAAAAGATCTTGTCCGTGGCGTGGAGAGACCAGCCGACCAGATCCAGGGTTCAGGGATTAAAAGTGCAGAGAGAAGTGACAGGACAAAGATAGAGAGCAGACAAAAAGAGAGCCGATAGAAGCACATCTGCACAGACCAAGAGCCGTTCAGAAAGACAGACCAGGAGGTCAAAGGTCAGCGGTGCCACGGCCATTTTCTGTCATCCAATACATACTCTGACTTGAAAGATTTTTTTTCCCCCTCGAATTCTAATGCTATTTCTGATTGATACTGTCAGAAAAATTATTCCGAACCAAATAAGGATCAATTTAATTGAGAATCTAAAATGAAAGGAATCGCCAAACAGTTCATGTTGTGAAGAGGAAAAAGGGGAGTTGAGAATAGTGATGACATAGTGAATGATCACAGCATAATAAAAGAACTTTAGGAAGTTTAAGGAAATCCTCAAGTAGGAATTTGCTGCTTTGAAATTTGGATTTTCTTTCCTTTTTTTATTTTTTGGGTTGCATGTCTTTTCTCTTCCTTTGTGTAGGAGCCGACTCTCTCACCCACTTCCTGTTAGAAATCCTGTGAGTGAAAGTCTCCATGGCTACGGGAGCGTGGCCACTGTCCGGCCCTCGTCCTAACCTGATCACCCTGCTCAGGTCAGCATTCCCGTCACACCGCATTACTCACTCACACAGTTCAGTCACACAAAGAGCAAATCGTGTCACCGTCACTATAAACGACCAGAGGCCCGAGTGCCCCGTTTCCCCCGGCTACTTCACCTTATATTCCCAACTAAATGAACCACTGGTCAAAGGTATAAAGGTGGTGTGATTTCGATTGACCCTGTTTTTCTCTCTATAGATTATTTAGGTAAACTTGCAAAGAGAGCTTTCCGCTTTTGATGAGTCCCTTTATTTGCTTTTCAAACAATTTCCAACCTACAAACCTCATATTCCAGTTTGTCGCTCTCCTTTTTATGATTTAACCTGGTCATGATGCTTGGATGATTCTCCTCCTGCAGGGCCTGCCCCACCCATCCAGCAGAAGAGCTGAAAGTCAGGCTGAGCCGTATGCTGCTGGAGTTTGTGCAACACCAGATGACCAATGAAGAAAGCGACAAAACCAAAGGTACATGACTCTGTTTTTAACCTTCTTGCTTTACTATTTTAGATGGCCGCCATGGTCACCAGTGTGGAAAAAGTCAAGATGTGGACATATTATCACCTAAAATTCTATAATATATGTTGATGTTGTTGACAGAGCTGGCAGAGAAATGCTGCCGGGATGCTGAAGCGCGGTATTACAGTATTTTGGAACACTTCCTCAGTCAAAAGAGCGGAAGCCAGGGTGGCCAGGACATCTCAGTGAGTGTGTCCCCCTGTGGTCACATCTGGGGGTTTTCATGAGTTTGGGAAGTCAAAGAATAATACATAATGTGCTACACTTCATATGCTATTTAAATATAAATAACACTTGTATATATTTTCCCTCAGAGTAACTTATTTGTTCTTCCTGTGGGATATTTTTATACAGGAAAACTTCTGGAAAGAAGAGTTCCAGTGCTTTCTGGTGGTCTTTGGTCTGGAGTGTGCCCTGTCATCAAACCAGCTTCCATCTGACTTCACAAAACTCCTTCAGATCTACAAGTTGGCCGCATACCAGGCTCCACTGGTTCGTCACCTGTTAAAGCATGCTAAGTGTGGATGTTTTCCCTTCAGAGATCTCTTATTTAGTCTCTTCTGACTACTAGGTGATCGAGCTGATGCTGAGGTCTGGGTTCGTTCAGCCACAAAAGTTCGACAAACATTTGATCACACTTGAAAACAACATTTTGGAGAGGTTAGCCTGGACCAGTGACTCGCCACTGTGGAAGGAAATCAAAGCCAATAAAGAATGCCTGCCTTCCTGCCAAGAGGTGTGCAGAAACACACAGGCTCTTTGTCCATATACAGCTGTGATGTCAGAGTATTTTCGCTCAGGCTGGTTTTCGGCTCTGTCCTTGCAGGTGATACCTCAGAACCTGCTTGAAGAAATGGAGCCACAGCTTGAACCTGACCAACCAAAAGGTATAGCTGTATGCTGATTAAGCTTTTTTAGTATTAGACTTGAAGCCGGCTACAGTATTAGCAAAGACTGAATTGTAACCTGTGTTGTTATGTCTTTGTCAGCGCATGTCGGGTTGGAGATGAGTCCCTCTGACAGTGGGGACAAAATAGTTTCCTTTTCCTCCGTCAGCACGCCTCAGAAAAAGAACACTTTTGGCGTGTTTGCTTCCAAAGTGAGCTTATTGGTCTACAGATCCACGCAAGAGTTTAGCTCACTTCTCTGTGATCAGCTTTTAGAACAGCTTTGATTTCCCTTTCACTTCAGGTTTACCAGCTGATGGCCGAGCGCTTGAAGGAGCTGTGCTCCAAACTGGACATCTCAAATGAGCTGAGGTCCAAAATCTGGACCTTTTTTGAGCATTCCCTGGTTCAGCACAGCAGGCTCATGGTAGACCGCCACCTGGACCAGATGCTGCTGTTAGCCGTACACCACATGGCAAAGGTTTGCTCTGCTTTACCTGCTGTCGCTCTGAGCTGTTTACATGTCCATATACATCTGTTGTATTTCCATTCACTGAAATGTAAGTGGTGTCTTAATATGAAGCACGCGATCTTCTGTAAAACTTGTGGAATTGATGTGACTTTCACAGGTAACCGGCACCAAAATAACCTTCAGCAACTTGGTGGGCAGCTATAAGTCTCAGCCATTTGCAGACACAAAGGTAAGTTCCGGCTTTTAGATTGGATTTAACATTCCAAAGAGTTTTTGAGCTATCTTAAAGTGGAGGTCCCATACTGTCACAGGGCCTGTTTTTTTTTTTACTTTATGCCTGTCTTTACTAAGGAATAGTAATCACATGGTAATATCCCCTGTTTGAAATAAAAAACAAGTACATTGTCACAGTCCCAGTACTTGGTATGTAAAATGCTGAGATGAATTAACAAGTTAAATAGACCAGATGTCTTGGATTCGTACAGACTGTAATCAAATGAATGTGGATTTTGATGCTGGACATTAAAAGTTTATGAGGTTTGAATAGACCAACTAGATATGCTAGATGATCGATAAAATTGTTACAGATTTAACATTTGGTGGGATCATTTCTGCCACTGTGACTTCATCCAATGCTTCACCTCGTAACTAAGTAACCTTTTTGTTCTTTTTATTGATGTTAGCATCCTTCTTACTTGCTAAAATGTCTTTTGTAACCTTTTTGATTGTGCTTGATGTGGCTCAAAGCACTGCTTTGCCGATGTAACCCACTGTTGTGGAGCTCAGTATTCTTTAACGGGCGGTTTCTGTCCTCAGGTCTGTGAAGACATGCTGATGTTGGAGAGTGTTGTGGAAAATCCCGGTAAGACTCAACTGCTCGTCTGTGCGTTGATGCTGTATTAAAAGTAGGCATGATGGGGTTTTATAAATACCCGGTATGTGCAAAAAAACATACACAGTTATAGTAATCACATGTTTATAATTATAATGATAGAATTACTAATTACAACAAGATGTCACCGTCACTATATTTTTGCATATTATAGGTAAAGGAGAGTACCAGGGTGCGATATTGACCCCCTGCTCACCATCTGGACAGGAAGAGAAAGACGACATCCTCAACTTTCACAGGAACTACATCATGAAGATGCAGCAGTTTGCCAAGCTGTTTGCCCAAACCCCAGGGGTAAATGAGCCATTTTAACTAAACCAAACAAAAGCAATAAACGAAGAAAAAAAGAAAAAACATGAATTTTATTTCTTGTTTTGTTGTCAGGGCGAGACCCCTCCGCTGTCTCCGTACCCCAGACCGCCCCTCCCGAAAAAGACGCGTCTCCGTCACCCCCGTTTGTCCCAGTGTCAAAAGATCTCTGTATCGCCGCTCCCAGGAAACCGCTCTCCAATAACGTCTGGACTCTGCTACGCCATCGGCTCCGATACGTCACAGGTGTCCGTTTCAACAAGCCAAACAAACCGTTTTGCTAGTTCAGAGTTATATATATTCTTATCGTGCTCAAATTGTTTTTTTTCCCCTTGTTCTCTCCCAGCGCCTGGATGAGATCAACAGCATGGTGAAAGCAGGCAATCCCTCCACCAGGGTCTGCCGTGCACATTCCTTTGAAACAAATAACGAAGAAGAGGAGGGAGGAGATGGTCCTTCACTCAAAAGGGCTCGCGTGGACGGTCAGTCGACTTTTGGGAAGCGACTGGAGAGTGTTGTGAGCGATCGTGAAAAAGCAAGGAGGCAGCCCAGGATCTAACTCTTTTCTAGAGAGGAGGGTGAGCTCTCAGTCTGTTCCGGTATGTGAGGTACAATTGGACAAGTACTGGAGGAAAAGCACAGCGCACCTTAGCCTTTCTTTTCTTTTACCAAACCTATCTTTTAAGATACTGCCTTCAGGTCAAGTTCTTTTATGGCTTTTTCTTACTATTCCCCATGTATTCCCTTTTGCTTCAGTTCAGTAGGCTTTAATACCATGTGCATATTCTTAAACCCCTGCTCAGGATATCCTATATTTTATGTGTACTGTATAGCTTTTTGTATTAATTTATAATGGTGACTGGCTATGAAATGCACAGAGAACTTTCTTTGGACACATCAAATTATTTACAATTATTACAATTAGATAGAATTACATAAATGTTTGGATCCATGAAAAAAATATAACACAAACTTCTCTTACACTAAAATTCCTTTTAGTGTAAGATAAACCTATCATTGCTCACAGTAATCATACATTTTATTGTTGTTTGTACAAACTGATGCAATTTGTGGGGTAAATAACTGAAAAAAAAATCATTTAAAAAAACCATAATGTACAATTGAAAGTATTACAAGGTGTAATGAGGGTTCATGAGTAATATTCTAAAGAAGATTCTAAGTATTAGATTTTAATGAGATAGATTTGAATGGCCTTGATTTGACCACTGTAATTCCTTGAAAAAAACAGTACATCAGAGACTTTAGCGATGACAATATATGTGCTTTCCGGGTTGATTTTATTTCATTTCATTTTTCTGGAGAAGACACATGACTCCAAAACTGACTTTTTAAAGTTAACTTTTTTTAAAAACTTTCTTTGCTAAAGTAACCACTGAATCATGAACTACTCACTCACTGTTATCCTTTGTTGGGTGCTTTAAAACTAGGAAAATTAAAGTCGCCGGATGTTTCAAACTGTTCGCTATCACATTTTAGAGCCCTCTGAAAAATCTGGACGTAGACATTCCCAGTTATCCTGCTGACTGATTTCAATGGCTTTTCTGTTTTTTCTCTGTGTGGCACTGTGACAGCCAGCGTGGCGTCAGTCTTCCTCCGCTTGAATACGTACGCTTTGACTCCCACAGCTGCAGGAAGCTGCAGGAGATTACAGTAAATCTGTGGACTTACTCTCTTCACTCATCAGATACTTTGCTTTATTTGGGCCTGTACAGCAGTTCAAAGTTATCATGGTTGGAGTGGAATGTTTTTATATGCCACTTGGAGGATAAATAGGTAAATAAAAAGAAAATAAGTGTAGGAAATAAAAGAAAAAATAATGAAAACTGAAAAAAAGTAATATTTAGAGAGAGAGTGTGTGTGTGAGAGAGAGACAAAGAGAGAGAGAGAGAGAGAGAGAGAGAGAGAGAGAGAGAGAGCGAGATTAATTGATTAATATTAATATTATTGATTATTGTGTCTGGTCCAATAAGGCCATCTAAAGACTTTTATAACATGCTGGATTATTTTCTTGACACTGAGAAACGTACTTGTTTAATTGCAGTTTTAATCCTGAGAATTTTCTGAGTATCGAAAATATCATTTACGGTGACATTGTTTGGACTTTTCAAATCATGCCTTATTTTTCAAATAAATGCAGAATAACATTTAATTTATAAACAGATTTGACCAAGAGCAACTTGAATGATTTATTCTCATCCATTCTTATCAGCCAGTGCTCACAAAGCGAATCTCGTGGCCGATTCAATAAGAAATCGATCAAAAACAGCCAAGTAATTTTATTAAAGGCCACTCAGAAAAGTGTTTTGCTTATTGTTTTTCCACTTAAGCATTTCAGCTGTACAGTTCACTTAGCTGGGAGTGAAATGGAGTATTTTTTCAGATTCATGTACTTTATTTTATCTGAGAACCAGCAGCATCACTTGTTCACCGCTATGATACGGACACTTATGCAAAACAATGAGAGAAACATTAGATAAAAGTGGGAGCAAAATTATTTTTTCCCATTTTTATCTGCATTTCAATATTTTTCTTTTCTTTGAATTGATGAAACACACTAAATCAACTGTCCAATTAAAGATTGTTTTGACAATAACATGTTTGCATTGTATTAAATATTCATTTTGCATTCTTATCCCTAATCCAGCATGTATGAAATCGTTATTATGCAGGATTGTGTTACTGATATGCTGATGCAACCAGAAACATGTTGTATTAGTAGAACAGCACTCCCAAGTGACCAAACAGCAACAAACCCAATTACATTTTAGTATGCACTTTAGCTTTCTGATTAAATCGCTGTAGACTTTTATTTACGAATATATATATACAGGTATATGTATATCAATTCTTTGCCTGCATTCTTTACATGCTTTTTATGACCTAAGAAAATCTTCTGCAATAGGCAATGACCAACACAGTCATGCTCAGTGTTTGTCAGTAACCATGCTTTGGCAGGCTTCAGAGTTATTCGTTAATTATTGTAAAACAATAAATAAATAAAAAAAAGGCTGTATGGTAAGCAGACAATAGCTTGTGGGATAAAATTAACACACGCAAGTAAGCGAACGCAACTGCAAGTCTCAAGGTTTCTATGAAGAACAAAGTCACCTCGGCCCACAAACTCTGGCAGAGGGTTTCGGGTGGTGGGGACTTTGTTTCAACACACTGTACACCTCTGGACTCATCAGCCGAACAGCAGCCTGTACACACTGGGATTCAGCCAAACACAAGCAGGGACTCCGCTGTACTGGACTCCTCTGAAAAGCCAGATAAAAGGCCAGCTACTGCCTCTTCCACTACAGGAGCATCTGCAAAGAAAACAAATGGAACAAGAGAAAAAGAAAAGGAGGAAAAAACTGAGAGCTCCAGCTGAGATCCATCAACTTATTCTCTTTCAAAAGTAAGGCTTATAACCTTAATTATCCTACAAATAGGAATCCAGATCAGCACTAAACACTCAACTTCTTATCTGAATGTTTTTTATTTATTTTCCTTTCAGTTCTTGCTGGAATGAGGATATAGCGGTTCCCGATAAAGCCAGCAATTTATGCCCGTGGCATGGGGTCACTTTGATACAGTCACCTCTGTGACTGGACTGCCATAACTCTCTGAGGCTGCCCGACATGACAAATGGGTTGTGTGCTGACTGAGATGGGCTCTGTTGTTTCTGTGATGCTATGTGTGCAGATTGGCCTGTCCGAGGGTGAAGGAGGGGCTGTCAGCAGGAAAAGGCGATGCTGCACAACTGTCCATCAACATCTGGGCCGTCTTGGCCGGCCTCATAGTTTCAAAAACATGCTTTGCTGGAGAAATCCAGGCAGAAATTGCTCCCTGATAAACGTTCTGTTTTAAATCCTGAGTTGTGGCATTGTGTACCTATGCTGCCTTTATGTTCTTTTTATAGCCATCCGTGTACACACCCCTGCAGTGTATTTTGCATCGCCTGTCTTTGTTTTTGCAGCCGTTCATGTGCTCAATCTTCTCTCCCCCTTATATCTGCACACACACACACACACACACATGCAAACACACCTCTGGTCAGGACTGATAGTAACAACAAACTCTTTCAAATGCTTCCAATTGTGCTGCAGGCTAAAGCAGCAACCCTTCTAGATAGTCAGCTTACATTTGGGCTGTGGGCAACCTGCAGCTCCCAGCTCGAAAGCACGCTCCGCGTATCAAGAGGCTGCAAGGGTTGCTCATGTGGACAATCACACACAGCAAGTACTTCTACACGACGAATGCAACCGCCAAGAGGTGGGATGAAAAGATGCTCCCGCACTTCGCAGTCCTCGCCACCAGGGGGCGGAAGTGAGCGGCGGGACAGTTCTCTCTGTGGCCACCAGGGAGCAGAAGAGGACTTTTGCTATGCTGAGAGACACATCTGAAGAAAAGCTCCATTTGCCGAAGACATTTAATCTGAAATATAGATTGTAAATTTATTACCGGCAAGTGAATGGAGCTGGAATGGAATAGCCATTTTACAAAGCCATATCAAAAATACCCATCTTCGAGGTGGAGGAAAATTACATGAAAATATTACCATTGTACAAATGGAAAGTTTGATTGAATAATGTGCTGGAGAAGATAAATGAAAGGCACTTTGTTGGAAAACGTGGCACTAAATAGGTTTTTAATTTCAGTGGTGGGATGAAAGAGGCGAATTTTTACCCCATTTTACTCCCAATTGATTAGTGGTTCCACACCTGCAGGAAGAGAGGGGGCCTTATCGTTTCATTATCAGTTAATTAATATGCGCGCACACATGCCCATTATCTATCCTCTCCCATTTAAAAGAAATGAGACATTGATGTTTTAATGGTGCCAAAAAGGATAACTCCTCTGTACTTTAAAGACAAGGCAGGCACAGTGATTGACAAAGCTGAGAAATGTTAAGAGAGACAATTGAATTAAGAGCAACCTGAAACATTTGATTATCATATTACAGCTTCCCAAATGCTGAGCCTATTCCTCTTTCTTACCAGGCTTTATTCCTGTGATATTGAGTTTTTTGTTATTGACTTTTTTTTTAAAGATAGATATGGCCAATTTTATGATGCTATCTATCTATCTATCTATCTATCTATCTATCTATCTATCTATCTATGTGTAAGTATCTATGTATGTATATGTATGTGTGTGTGTGTGTGTGTGTGTGTGTGTGTGTGTGTGTGTGTGAGCGTGTGTGTGTATTTCCCAATGAGAATCCATTATGGAGGCTTTTTATTTGAAGGACATGCAGAATTACATTTTTCCGCTGTGCCGTGACTATTAAAGGACCCAAGGCTACACCAAGTGAAGCAAAACCAAGATGAAAGTTATATTAATCATTATTTGGTTTAGTGCACTATGTGCACTGGATTTATGTCTATGAGTCACCGGCCACTGTTATGTGCCTTTGAAATAGGCAATATTATGGAAGGGAGCTCTATTGACATTTTTCATTTCTGCATAAATGCGCTTGGTTGCACGTTGTGCCAAGGCTGTTATTTTTTTTCTTCCTCCTCTTCTGCTTCTTAAATCTTGAAATGCTAAGATTTTGAAGTGATGAAATGAATAAAATAAAAAAAGGGTGAGCATCCTTCTAAATCTAAACCATGGTTTTTCCACACACAGAACATCACAGAGGACATACTGGTGTATCTGGAGGCAGATGTTCACAGGACTGTGCCAGAAAAGGGGGCAAACCGAAAATGAGAAGGGTAACTACACACACACACATACACACACACAAAAAGAAACTCTGGGGCTTAATCCCCTTACTCTGTAATGGACCATTTATGTGATATGTATAATAGTTCTGCCACAAATATTCACAAGTACTAGTCTTATTTTCTACCAACTTCACTTTAGAGATGTGTTCTTTGCAGGGTATCTTTTGTGAATATATGATCAGAGGCACGACAGCTCTGGTCTTTAATCTTATACTGGCCTTGAAGAATGTCACAGATTCAAACCACCCAGCACCCTCCTCCTCATGCTGCTCCATCCCTGAAACTGCAGGCTACAAAAATTTTGTATTTAGACAAACTTGTCTTTAGATGCGGATATAGGTAGAATTCCTATATTTTGTAATACAAAATATAAAAGAAAAAATTACATGTCACGAACCTCTGATCCTTCCGTGAAAATGGCCTGTCTGCTTTGTTTTGTTAACCCAAAAAAAGTCTTCCTCGTGATATGACTGACAATTTTCAGTTTGGTCTATGGTTCTGAAGATAGACATGACATATTTATTGACATTCTAAGGATCCAATCATCTACATACTTGATTGCATTTCATTACGGACAGAAAACAAAATGTTTTAAGGAATTAAATAGTTTTCTACGGAATAAATAGGAGTTTGTGTGGTTGTTTGTCCCTATGTGGACTTGTATCTGTCTGATGACCTGTCTAGGGTGTACCCCGCCTCTCGGCCAATGTCAGCTTATATAGGCTCCAGCTCCCCTGCAACCCTGCTGGGTATAAGCGGGGAACATTTAAATGTGGGTTTATTCATTGACATTGCTGCCTCATAGAAATGAAAAAGCCCATTGTGGTTTATTTCACTTGATAAATTGCTTGTTACATATCTGAAGAAATTCACTTCGGCATGATCTAAGTGTTATTTCAATTGAATGTCTGTATTATGTATTCAACAAATACTTCTTGTATTATCTGAGTTTGATGATAATGTTATCATAGAAATAAGCTCTTCACTGGTCTTGTAGGCTTTACCATGAACTTGATAATCAAATTCTTCAATGTGTTGCACTCAAATCTATTCAAATTACTTAAATGACTTATGAGATGCTATATTCCTGTATGATACTTAACAGTGTGT